CGCTCGCCCTATCGCCGACTCAACAACAGCAGCAATCGCTTGGTGGTGAAAGACGTCACCACGACGCTTGTGTGTCAGTCCAGGTGCACTTTGAGGCCACGCAAAGTGTCGAAGGCTCCACTGGGAGAAGGTCAAGGGCCGGACCCAGATGCCATGAGTTGACTTGACTGGCAGATGGGTCGCTCCTCTCTGTCCTCTGCTGTCGTTGCCTCCAACTGCCCAGCAGCGTCCTTCACGAACCTCCACATCGGCCAATCTTGACACCGCTAGTACCAGTTATTGCCAAGTCCAATCAGCTCCACATCCTCCTGTACCACATCACTCCATCTCATCTCTAGCCCGTGCTTAGCATGCGGGCTACATGACCCAGCCAACGCAGCATTGCCTGCGGGAGGAGCTCGCTGATGGGGATGTGACCAGATCTTTCAAGGATCTGTGAGCTCCTCACACAATGCAGCCTGGTGAAAGCCAGGATGGATTGTAGGCAAGCCAGCCTGAACGATTCACTCACTCACTCCCAGTCATGCTCCCACTCACCACACTGCAGGTCACAACAACACAACAAAGACACAGATCCCCCGTATAGCCTGAACAAACTTTTGGGGGAAGTGCTGTTAGCGAGCACCTTCGAAGGCCGGCACCACACACAAGGGGGTGGGTAGCCAGCATCATTCTCGGCCGCCTTTGTCTCCCCAGTGGTGATGTTTACGCACTGCACCGGGTACTCATTTGAGTCTGAGTCGACCTGGGACCGGTTTAAATAATCGTCACTGCCCCTGACAACAACACACACACAAAGACAAAGAGAAGATAAATATCCCCCCTATAGCCTTTAACAGACTTTTGGGGCAAGTGCTTTTAGCGAGCTCCTATGAAAGCCGGCACGGCACATGAGGGAGTGGATGGCCACCACCATGCCCGGCCGCCTTTGTCTCCCTAGTGGCAATATTTATACACCGTACCAGGTACTCATTTGAGGCTGAGTCGACCTAGGGCAGGCCCAGGACCGGTTCAGGTAATCGTCACCGGTGTTGGCCATGAGCGGGAATCGAACTCGGGCCGCCGGGTTCATAGCACAGCGTAGTGCTAACCGCTACATTACCGCTCCTCATACTCGTGCTGCCACCCACCAACCCACTCAGCACACTCCAGGTCACGTGACTTCTCTTTCAGTTTCTTCCCTCGCACCGCTCCACCGTAGGATCCCCTCCCTTCGTCTCTCCCCCCCCCCCCACGTGCTCTTATCACGATCACCTCGCTCAATTCTAGGAAAAGCATAAACCCTTTATCGATTACAACTCTGATCGAGCTGTTTGTTGCTGGCCTGCTTATCGTTTTGGGCCTTTGGGCCTGCTGTTCTCAGCGGCCGGGCTAAAAACAAAAAAAAAACTTGAAGAGCTGGAGACAACTTTGAGAAATTGGCAGGACGTCTTAGAATATGAGGGATTTCCCACACTTTACCCCACCACACGCGACCTGCCGATTGACTAAGTGCGGCGATGTCTGTATGTTCGTCGAACTTATTTCTCACCGTACGTAGCCAACCGTGCTAATCAGAGGTGCGGGGGGAAGGACAACAAACTACCAAACACAAAAAGCAGTTCTAACGAAATGAGTCAATCTAGATGATGATGATGATTGAAAAGTGCACACAGCTCCCAGCGGCTTCCTCATTGGAAGGGGAAGAGCGTTCCAGACGGCCGCAGAAGCGCATCCGAAAGCGCCGCGCGATGTGGTGACCGCCGTCTTTGTTCGATGGTTCACCAAAAGCCGCCGCTGCGAGGAAGACCGGAGTTCTCCTGATGGTTTATGCTCCTTGAGATCAGCGAGGTATCTCGGTTCATTTGTGGCAAGCACTTTGCGTGTAATGAGGTGCCACCTTACAATGTATTCGTTCTGCAACCGAAAGCCATTGTGGCTCGGTGAGCACTCGATACATATGGAGGGCGGGGAGGAAGGGATGTAAGTAACGCTCACCCCCATCGTTTCGGCTGCCGCGACGGGAGATGGAATCGAACCGGCGACCTGTGGATGTCAAGTCCAGTGCGCGAACCCATAGCGCTGTGCGCTGTTGTGGCCATGCAGTCCAAACTGCGGACCGTACAGTAAGCCACCGTAGTCTGCGCTGCTTCAACGGCTGCAGGAGGAGGAACGGCACAACACTTCGCGAACTCTCTCCCGAGAGCCCTCGCGTCGTGGACAAGGCAGACCCCGACATTGGCGTCTATCTCCTGGACGTATTGTCACGTGCAGGAATAAGGAATAGTCCATGGGCAATGTTGGCCTACTGCCAATATTAAGTCCATGGGCAATGTTAATCCATGGGCCAGAGAGTAAATCACATTGGCGTTTAGCTGCTGGACACATTGCTCCTTGCCATCGTGCGCGGGGATCGATCGGTCTAACGGTGCAGTGAAACATTCCTGGGAAAGAAAAAAAAACTGTAAACACTGAAAGGTAGAAGTAACGCCGGGGCCATGGGAACTGGCAGAAATTCCATCGGAGGAGTCGCGGATCGTCACAACGGCGTCCGGGGGCTGAGTGCGCGCGTTGCCGCGTGTGGCCCGGCCACGGGGGCGTGGGGATGGCCCGGCCGCGAGTGGTGGCACGGCCGTGGCACTTCCTCGGCGCTGACGCAGGTGACACAGAGTCGCGGCGGTTCTCCTGCGTCGTGACGAGGCCGTGTGAAATGTCTCTGTTTGGTCGAATTTCTCACAGATTTTATGCCGGGGGGGGGGGGCAGGCAGGGGGAGGGGGGTCCCATCACATCACATTTAGAATCAACATCACGCGTTTAGAGCGTTTGGGCTGCTATAAATGTCTCCACGTGATAAGCCACTTCGTTTAGCCATCATTTGTGATGGCCAGGCCGCTTCTGAAAAATAGCCCTATAGCTCGGTGGGCCTTAGCTGGTTAAAATAAACAAAAAAACATTTTAATTTTACAGTTTACAGATGCCCCTCCGTCAGCACAAGGTGTGCGCTGCATCGGCCTACAATTGGACATCGTTCAGGTGGGGGAGTGCGGGCGGTGGTGGTGGGGAGAGAGGGGCAAGGGGGGTGGTGAATAACAGGCCACAACAACGACACGCACACACGCCGTGCTCTCCCTGTTGTGCCACGAAGTGTTGCCGGCCGCAGGTTTTCCCCGTCGTGGCTTTTCCCACCGGTGACTGCCGCGACAGCGCGGCGCAACAAACCGCGCCGCGGTGAGCCGCACGGGCGCGCCGCTAGGGAACCCGTCCGGCAGCGGCTACCCGTTTTCCCTACAGTCGTTCCGCCCCCCCCCCCCCTCGGTGGCGGAGCAGTGGGAATCGTTCAGAGAAGGGCCCCCCCGTACGCGCGTTTGGTGCCGTGTGGGAATTTGCCGGAACGTCACACCGTCTCGTATATACAGGCACTCCTTGACGTAAGCGATAGATGCGTTCCCTGGAAAAGTGCACGTTTTATCTCAAAATCGCGTAGGTCAAAAGCAATCTTCTCATAGGGAAAAATGGTTAAGGAGGGGCTTAGGGGATTTAACTCGAACTCGCAGTCATAATCGCCTATATTATCCTAGCCTATATCAATACAAGCACACGCAATATTATACTCGGTCATCAATTCTTAACGACCTGTGTTCTCTTGCTACAGTACCCTCTCATTAACCCCCTTCCTCTCCGGATGTCAGCCATCCGGCCACCTGCGTTCTTCATTATCACTTCACACTTCGTCATCGCCCCGCACCGGCTGCTGGCAACGCCATTGGTTCGCGGTGCCAGGCTAGGGGCGGGGCGTACGCCGCGCTGCTGGTGACGTTATTCCGAAAATCGCCTCGCGTACGTCAATAAAAGGTCTAAAATACATACGGAGCGTCGCCGCGTTACTCCAAAATGGCGTACCACAAAAGTGTGTGAACCGAGGGCTGCCTGTACCGGCACATCTCCACCGTCGGTACAATGCTCGGCTCGTGATGATCGCGCACAGCCCGGTGATGCGGTCTAATGTACATTCACAGAGCGTTGTCACTCGAGGCGCTCGGTGGCGTAGCTTACAAAAACGGTGACGCAGAATGGAGTGGTGTCGTTGACAGGGGCATGCTACATGGATTGAGGAATGAGTGACCGCGACAGAGGGGTAGTTAGGGATCACGGAAGGTTAGCGGAGGGACAAGAGGATGGAGTGGAGGGGCGAGAGGAGGGAAGAGGAAGAGAATGGATGATAGAGAAGAGGTGAGGCTTTAAGAGCGGAACGGAAGGAGGTTAGGCATGACACAGCCAATGCTAAATAAACTGTCTCCGCCTACTCTTCTACGCTAGTCTGATGCGCCGCTACCTCGCCAACGCGTTCTACTCCCGGCCAGATCCTGCAGCTGCTGCACAGGAGACACGCGGTGACCTCCAACATCTACGCTGACAGTGTCCCACCATAGACTCACATTCATTTCTTCTTTTGTATGGCTGATGTAAGATGCAGAGCATCAACTACATTTTCACATTGAGGTGGTCAAACCCAGATAATCGCGTCAGGAGCAGCGGAGCGTATCGCTGTAATGTCTTCTAGACTCGCATACAGACACACAGACTCGCACGGAGACCCACAAACTCACAGAGAGACCCACAGACTCGCACGGAGACCCGCAGACTCGCACGGAGAGCCGCAGACTCGCAAAAAGACCCACAGACTCGCACGGAGACCCACAGACTCGCACGGAGACCCACAAACTTGCACAGAGACCCACAGACTCGCCAAGAGACCCACAAATTCACACAGAGACCCTCAAGATCTGCTTCACAGTCTGCCACCGTTAAGTCTTCTATTCCCTTTGGTTGCTGGTCTCGTGGAGATCGCTCCAAGACAATCGGCCATCCTCCCCTCTCCCCCCACCCACTCCTGTACTTGCGCACGTCCACCCAGATGCTCTCGTGATGATATTCGACGTATGAATACAACAAAAAAACGCACGAATGCTGGGAGACGGAGCGTCGGGTCGTGACGATGTGTCCCTGTCGGCGTGCGTAGAGATGCTGCCGGACGAGAGCTCCGAGTGGCTGCACGAGCTTCTGCAGGAGGTGCAGCTGGAGCAGTTCTTCCTGCGCGTCCGCGACCAGCTCAACGTGACGCGCCCCGAACACTTCGACTACGTCAAGAGCGATGACCTGGAGAAGATCGGCATGGGCAAGCCGGGTGAGCCGCAGCGCGGCGCCGCCACCTCCCCGCGCTTGGGGAAAAAGAACGTGAACACATTTGTGAATATTTGGAGGGGGTAAAGGAAGCGGCGCTGCAATCAGTGACAAATTAAGCTAGTGCAGGGCCTGTGGCGTATGTTATAAAGGGGCCCTAAATAAAAATAAAACACGTAAATATTAAAACACGCATGTTTAACTCGCATAGTAAAGTAATTGTATTTTTTCATTTGCTATACAGCCAGATAATACGACAAATCGCTAACCTTAAACACCCAGTCGTTCATAAAAGTTGAAGGTGGTATAGTACTTTAGTAATAGAGCAAGTGCAGATTCACTGAATCGGAATTGATAGCTTGAAAGAGTATTGTGCGGGGCCCGTAGCATATGTAGCTACTTTTGCTACTTGTATAATCCGGAACTGTCTGCAATTTGCTCACTCACGCCGCTGCTGGCGGAAGGGGCCCTCCGCTCGAGGGAGCTCGAGAGTACCCCGCTAGCTAGAGGTTACTGTTGGCCTACTCTTCCATGGCGGAACGGACGTCACCGGCAAAAAAAATCGGGCGCCAACCCACGTTTTACCCCCCCTCCCCCCCCCCCCCTTCTCACGCCACGCGGCCTGCCAGTCGACCAACCGCGGCGGAGTTTCTGTCGACCCTACGGTTTGTCCGCGGCGAACCGCTAGTGCCGCCGTGGCGCAAGTGGGTTTTAGTGGTGGTGGTGGCGGCGTGATGGTGGTGGTGGCGGCGTGCGCTGTGCCTGCAGGCCAGAGGCGTCTCTGGGAAGCTGTCAAGAGGCGGAGGACTTTGTACAAGCGCAAGACCTGGATGCCCAAGGTCTCCTCTCTTTTCGATGCTTTCCACGCTGAGGTTGAATGCCTGGACGAGTCGGCTGCCTCCTGTCCGTCCACCTGCTCGTCTGTGCGTCCGTTTGTCTGTCTGTAACTTGGCGGGCCGCGGCAACCCTCGCAAGAAGATGGCCCAATATGAACGCAGCTGCGCCATCGGGTGTCCTTGCCGTTAGCGGCTCGTCCTGTAGGCGGCCTCGCAAATTGATGAAAGGGTCGCCCGTAGCTCGGGAAGATAAAATGCGGCGATGGACAGCGGCAGGGCCGTCTCGGCGATGGCAATGACGTCAAACGCCGACCGCGCGTGCGCGCAGCCCAGTAGCATTGTTACGCGTTATGTAAACTCGCTATCGGCTGGGACGATATAACTCTGTTGATCACCATGATCGTCAGCCATGATGCAGGCGACCTGATGGCGGCAGTGGTAGTGATGCAGGTGACCTCCAGGTGGTGGCGATAACTCAAAACAATCGCCGCCACCAGCAGCAGGCCACCTGCACCACCAACAACAACAGCCGCCATTCGCCACTGAGTGACGGTGACGTCACCACAGCGCTTGTGCCAGGCTACATGCATTTGGAGGCCACATGAAGTACACCACCTGCAGTACACCTCCACCTGGTGAACTGCAGGTGTTGCAGGTGGTGTTGGTGGTGCAGGCGACATGGTGGTGCTACTGGTGGTGGTGTGGGGAGGGGTAGTGTAGTGGTTAGCGCGCTGCGCTACGGACTCGGCGATCCGAGTTCGATTTCCGCTCACTGCCAACACGAGTGACGATTATCTAAACCGGTTCTGGGCCTTTCCTGGGTCGACTCATCCTCAAATGAGTAACCTGGTGCGATATATAAATCTCGATATTAAGGAGACAAAGGCGGTTGGGAATAGTGCTGGCCACCCACCCCCTCGTGTACCGTTTGGCCTTTATAGTTGTTCGCTCACAGCACTTGCCCCAACAGTTTGTTCAAGGCGGTACGGGGGGATCTTTGTCTTTATTATTTTGGCGCTGGTGGTGGTGCCTGTGGTGGTGCTGGTGATGGTCGTGCTGGTGATGGTGGTGGTGCTGGTGATGGTGGTGGTGCTGGTGATGGAGGTAGTGCTGGTGGTGGTGCCCGTGGTGGTGCTGGTGATGGTCGTGCTGGTGATGGTGGTGGTGCTGGTGGTGGAGGTCGTGCTGGTGATGGTCGTGCTGGTGGTGGAGGTGGTGCTGGTGATGGTCGTGCTGGTGGTGGAGGTGGTGCTGGTGATGGAGGTCGTGCTGGTGATGGTCGTGCTGGTGATGGTCGTGCTGGTGATGGAGGTGGTGCTGGTGATGGAGGTCGTGCTGGTGATGGTCGTGCTGGTGATGGAGGTCGTGCTGGTGATGGAGGTCGTGCTGATGATGGTCGTGCTGGTGATGGAGGTCGTGCTGGTGATGGTCGTGCTGGTGATGGAGGTGGTGCTGGTAATGGAGGTCGTGCTGGTGATGGTGCTGGTAATGGTCGTGCTGGTGATGGAGGTGGTACTGGTGATGGCCGTGCTGGTGGTGGAGGTGGTGCTGGTGATGGTCGTGCTGGTGGTGGAGGTGGTGCTGGTGGTTTTGCTGTCAACCCCTTATCAGTGCCCTACCTTATTACAGACCAATTCAGGCCTCATTGGTCACCCCGTTCATCCTACAAAGTCCCATCACAAGGGAGAAACACAAACAAATAAACAATTTTTTTTGCCCGCATTGAAACGGTTGTACGCCGTATGGACCCGAAAACTCAATCCCCCTGTTCCAGAATACGGTGTAAACCGCGTGGGTTGACAGCTTTGTGGTGGTGGTACTGGTGGCGGTGCTGGCCGTGGCGGTGAAGCTGGTGGTGGCGATTGAGACCGCGTCGCCGACACCGGAGCGATTTGCCCGTCCGCAGGTGTTCATCGGCAAGCAGAGCGAGTGCCCGTCGCACCCGTCGCTCACCTTCCGCAAGGTGTCGCCCACGCCAGGGGGGCAGGAACCCCCTCCGCAGAGCCTCACGTGCCTCATCAACGAGAAGGAGCTGCGCCTGCTGGAGAAGCTGGGCGACGGCTCCTTTGGAGTCGTGCGGCGCGGGGAGTGGTGCTCGCCCTCGGGGCAGCTGGTGAGGACGACTGTCGCGGCGGCGGCGGCGGCGTCCATCGTGCCCGTCGTCCCCATCGCTCCCGTCACGCCTCTCGTGACCAGCGTGCCCATCTAGCTCATCCCGCCCATCGCCCCCATCGCGCCATCTCGCCAATTGTGTCCCGTAAAGCGCCCGCCTGCTCCCCCCGACGCTACCGGGCTGCACTGCGGTTGTTGTTGTTCTAATAATAACAATAGGAACATTATATTCTTGGTTCTTTCGGTAAAGTCATGTAGAAGGGAAACAATAAAATAATAAAATTATATTGTTTTATAATTTTATTGTTTCCCTTCTACGTGGCGACTTTACCGAAAGAACCAAGAATATGAATCCCTGCGGTCACGAAAGCTTTAAATAAATTTTTTATAGGGACATTGTTTTTCCAGGAGAACTACACTGAGTCATAGGAGGGTCCTGCCGCTGCTACATTTGGTGTTTATTTGCAAGATGTTTTCAGACGATTAATGAGGACGAGTCGTCGTGTTTATTATTCACGTGGGAGGAGGAAACCGGAGCGCCCGGAGAAAACCCCACGCCCTCGCGCAAAGCGGGCAACGCTCGATCCCCGTACAGACGCAAACACAAACCGGCGGCGATTAGTCCCATTTCTGTGCCGCCTTCTCCTGGCCAGCCAGCAGTACTGCGCCTCCTCGACGCCCACGGGTATAATAGGATTCTCACAACGACGTCCGCGCGGTGATCCCCACCAACCCTCGCTGCTGCCTCCACAGCGCCGAGGTTACGGGCAGCAGCCACGTGCAGCCGCAGCGGTGCTCGTAGTTGGTGCTGTCATCGTCGTCGTCATCGTCGTCGTCGTTGTGCGCAGGTTCCCGTGGCGGTGAAGTGCCTGAAGACCGACATGCTGAGCGCCCCCGAGGCGCTGGAGGACTTTGTCAAGGAGGTGAACACCATGCACATGCTGGACCACCCCAACCTGATCCGCCTCTACGGGGTCATCCTCACCTACCCCATGAAGATGGCAAGTGCTGCATCACCTCCCAACTCTCTCATCTCTGAAACCTCCCCCGTGTCGCCTCCCAACCGTCTCCCCGCAATGTCTCTCTCTCTCTGTCCCTCCATCACCTCTGCCCTCCCTGTTGGTGGTGGACCAACATCATGGTAGTGGTGACGGTGGTAATGGTGGCGGTGATGGTGGTGGTGGAATATCGTGGTGGTGGTGGTGGTGGCGATGGAGGAATGTGGTGGTGGAGCAGTAGTGGTGATGGTGGAACACTTGTGGTAGTGGGCCAGCGTGGTGGTGGTGGTTGTGGTGAAGGTGTTGATGGTAGTGGTGGACTACTGTGATGGAGCAGTATGCTGGTAGTGCAGGAGCAGCAGTGGTGATGGGGGACCACCGTGGTGACAGTCGTCGTGGTGGCTGTGGTGACGGCGCTGGTTGTGGTGATGGTGGTGTTGGAGCGCCGCGTCACGCCGCCTGTTCGTCGCTCCCGGTGCACGCCAGGTCACGGAGCTGGCGCCCCTCGGCTCGCTGCTGGACCGGCTACGGCGGAACCAGGGCCGCTTCCTGCTGTCGACGCTGTGCCGCTACGCCGTGCAGGTGGCCACGGGGATGAGCTACCTGGAGACGCGGCGCTACATCCACCGCGACCTCGCAGCGCGCAACATCCTCCTGGCCGCCAGCGACCTCGTCAAGATCGGCGACTTCGGCCTCATGAGGGCGCTGCCGCAGAACGACGACCACTACGTCATGTCCGAGCACCGCAAGGTGCCCTTCGCCTGGTGGGTGGCACCCCCACCAAACAACTCACGCCCCCTCCCCCCGGGGTCGGATCCGGCCGGTGGCGTATTTTTATTTCGGACGGCACGCGAGATTTATCCCCCGGGACCGTGAATTGACCTTGCTTTGCACAGATAATAATAATAATACGAATATATATGTACGCAGGTTTCCCCTCGCTTTGTGCGGTAGACGCGTTTGGGGAAAAAAAAATGGGGCACGCAAAGCGAAATCGCGTAGCGGTCACCCAACCCACAATGCACCGCACGAGGAGACAGCTGCCGGCCGAATGGCGCGCACAGTCCACGGTACGCATAGCCGCGCGTAGAGTGAATTAAAACCGCGTGAAGCAACGAATTGTGGGTAGAAGGAGGTTAGCCGCTTATATACAGTATACAGTGGTACCCCGGAGATGGAACTTAACTCGTTCCAGAAGGCCATTCGAACACCGATTTGTTCGAACACCGAATTAATTTTCCCCATAAGAATGAATGTAAATGACATTAATTGGCTCCAGACACAAGAAATCTCTCATTATAAAGCATTTTTACACGAAGTTTACAGTAATTACACGCACGAAATCATACAAAAAAACAAGAAACACAATAAATAAATGGAATAAATGAATAAATATATGGAATAAATGAACATTGAACTTCACTTTACCTGTAGTAAGGAGATTTGATGGCTCGAGTGGAAGGTGGTGAGGAGGCGGTAAAACCTTTGTCTGGGCAAGCGTCGTGCACGCTGCTGGCCATGCGCATCTAAGCCGTAGAGGTTCTTTCAAGTCACGCTTGCCCGTTCGACCTCCGAATTTCGTTCGGTTTCCCGGAGCACAAAATGTTCGGAGACATCGTTCGAACACCGATTTGTTCGAGTTCTGGTGCGTTCGATCTCCGAGGTTCTGCTGTACACGAAATCGCAGAAACCGAAACCGCAAAAAGGGAGGAAAACCTGCCTTTATTATTCTTCAGGAAAATTTTTTATTTCACCGGCATTCAAATGCACAGCCCACCCCAAGGGACACGTCCGGAGATTGACGCCAACCACCACAAGATGCGAACTGCAACATCGTCGTCATCGTCGTCGTTTGCGAACGCCGCACGACGGCGTTTGTAACCGTGAGCCGCTCCTCACTCGCCGAGGGGGCCTGCGGCTCGCTAGCCGCGTGGCCACAGGTGTCGGGCGAGCGAACCGAGCGCCCTTTAATGAACGACGGAACCGGGACGACGCATACCCTCGTCTCCACCGCTCTTCTGAGGATGTGGACGATGAATGAACGTTTCAAGCAGCGGAATTCGCGCTCGTCTAGCGTCGTCCGTGTTCGCGTTTTGTCTGTGCCACCCTTCCCCGCGCCCTCCCCTCCAACCCCCACATTGCCCCGGATAAGCGCGAGTTGACTTTGCTCGCAGGCTGCCGCGGGAGCTAGCACACAAGCCCTGTCGTTCATCCAGCAGCGGGTAGAGCCTGCGTTGGCCGCAGCTCTCCGACGCGTTCCCGGGTCGTACCGCGCGACGTTCGGCACGATGTCCGACGTTTCGCTCCGCGTGCCGGAAGCCTCTTCTGGAACTGAACCGAGCCGCTCACCTTCTCGCGTGATTGTAGAGCGTCGTAGCCTCTTGCCTCCGATTGGATGATCGACGGAGAAAGTGAACGCTTTAAATTCAGCCACCTGAAGACGCTGGCCACCTTCAGGCAGCGTAGCGCGGTGGCCTGTACACCCCCCCCCCCTCACTGCGCGTGCCACCCCCCTCCTCCTCACCCCATCTACCACCCTGGCCCCTAGGTGCGCCCCCGAGAGCCTCAAGACTCGCACGTTCTCGCACGCGAGCGACACGTGGATGTTCGGCATCACGCTTTGGGAAATGTTCACCTACGGCCAGGAGCCTTGGGTGGGCCTCAACGGTAGCCAGGTACCGCTACAGGCAGACACCCCATGCTCTCTCGCTCTCTCTCGCTCTCACTCTCTCGCCCTCCCTGTCGCTCTCGCTCTCGCTCATGCCAGAGTCCCTGGTGCGCTACTCGAGTCCCGGCAGCTATAATTTAATTGTCATGCCCGTAATACGATCGTATCGCATCGATGATCGCGACGCTATCGACGTTCACGCTGCGGCAATCGCACGGTGCCGCAACAGATCCTGCACAAGATCGACAAGGAGGGCGAGCGGCTGCCCAAGCCGGAGGACTGCCCGCAAGACATCTACAACGTGCTGCTGCAGTGCTGGGCCCACAGGCCTGGCGACCGTCCCACATTCATGGCCCTCAAGGACTTCCTCAAGGAGGCACGGCGGCTCACTCTCACCGCACACGGCTCACCCTCGCCGGGTAAAAGACGAGTAGTGATAATAACGACGTCAATAAATAGTGAAGATAACGTGGCTGCCCTTCGCCCACCCGTGTCCTCCTCTCCCCGCCCCAGGCCCAGCCCACAGAGATGCGGGCACTGCAGGATTTCCACGAAGCGGAGAAGCTTTCCATCCAGGTGAACGACGTCATCACGGTGCTGGAGGGGAGGTGCGCCCAACGCCTGTTCCTCCGCGTCATCGTGACGGCGCGCGGCACGCCAGCGGTCGCCACGGCTCGGCGTTGGATTATTCCGCGAGTCCGCCCGCCCGCCCGTCCGCCCGCGAGGACGGGCGGGCGCGACGGGGAGTCGGGGTGGCGGCACGGCTACGGTAGCGAGCGCGCCCTGCACCTCGCTCCAGAGGTTCGCGGTTGGAGGCCAGCGGCCAACCCCGGTTGATACTAACCGAGTGGGGTGACCAACGCCGGCCCGTCCGGCCGGCCGGCTCATAGCTGTGTGGTGGGAGCGGCTCATGGTCGCAAGGTCACCGAGAGGTCAGATGTCGGTTGGGGGCTGACTCAGTCCATCGTCCCTCTTGGGTAGGCAGAATGAGCCAAATGAGTACCACATCATGGAGGGGTGGGGGAGTTGGAAATCGACAGTGCTACAGATAGACTCGCCCCCGTCATAGGAACGTGGAATTTCCGCAAACCAGGTTTCAGGGATGTAAAGGGGACTTGAGCACCAACCTCACTGCTCAAAACCCGAGCAGCGGGAAACCACTTTAGGGAACTTTGAACCCAAAACATTCGCCGCCCGCTTCAATGCGGACGTCACAGATCCCGTGACTTTATTCCACCAAGAGGAGGAGGCCATTGTGAGCCGGCATCGCGTTCCAACTTTGACAATCATAACAATAATGCGACACAGCTGAAAACCTCTTATCAGTGCCTACCTTCAATTTTGATTTAAAGCTTTCGTGACTGCAGGAATTCATATTCTTGGTTCTTTCGGTAAAGTCACGTAGAAGGGAAACAATAAAATCATCAAATATAAAACAATAAAATTCTCACGACGTTTCGACTGCAACACAAGCAATCATCATCAGGTGTGAAAACCACAGCAAGAAAATTTGAAAAAAGTGGCGGTTTTGTTTTAACGTTAGCACCACGGAGAGCGATTTGGCAGTTTGTTCAGATGGACGAGGAGGGGGGAGACGATAATAATGGATGCGGTCTGAAAGCCACCGTAAGCGTGAACAATCAATTAAGACCCGAAATGGTTTATCAAATCCTTCCAATGATTGCTAAACCAGAATCCATCTTCTCGGTTGAAATTGTCTCTGTGCTTGTATATGTGGATAGCCTCATGAACGAATCTCTCATTGTAGCCAGATTGCTTGCAAAGAACCTCTGTCTTGGAGAAGTCAATGTCATGTGAGCCTACTGAATTATAACAGTGATCTGCCACGGCCGAGGTGTTGGTCCTACCGTGTTTTAGGTCTGCTTTGTGTTCACGGATGCGGTCCGAGACATGTCGTTTGGTTTCTCCAATGTAACTACTACCACAGAGGCAACTTAGTATGTAGACGCCAGGGTACTGTATGTCCGGAATCACATTTTTTACAGACCGAACCAGATCACGGATTTTATTGCAGACCAATTCCATGCCCTTATAAATCTCAACGTTCACCCTACAAAGTCCCATCGCAAGGAAGAAACGCAAACAAATGAAAATTTCCCTGTACAAGAATACGGGGTAAACCGTATCGGTTGATAGGTACGATGATAATGGATTTTATATCGCGTCGTTCACGACGCTGCACAAGATGGAAAAATCAATGAACAAAAAAAGAATATAGGATCTCGCAAGATGCCACGGTGGCGAGATGATAACTACCTCGCCTGGTATACAGGAAGTCGTGGGTTCGATCCTGACCCTGACGCCTGTATATATTGAGTTTGCGTGTCTCCCCGTGATTGCATGGATTTTTCTCCGGGTGTAATACATTACCGCGCGATAAGACACTTTGACGGGGCTACCGTTTGTGGCCAGGACGCTTCTGAAAAAAGAGCTGCACACCTCAGTGAGCCTTACCCGGTCAAATAAAATATTGTTGAGCGGTTTAGTAGTTTAACGACACAGAACGCGACCAAAACCAAGGTCAACTCAATGAAAGGCCGAAGTAAACGATCAGATTCATACTCTTTGGTTCTTTCGGTAAAGTCACGTAGGTGAAAAATATAAATAATGAAAATAATAACATGAAAATAACTCGTGATTTAATTTAGTTATTTTCATCATTTTTTCTCTCACCTATGTGACTTTACCGAAATAACCAAAGAGTATGCAGTCACGAAAACTTCAAACCTAGGATCAGATTCATCTTTTGTAAGGGGACTCGAGCAAGTGGAGGCGACTGAACTCGGCGTCTATGCTGAGCGGTGAGCACGTTCCTACGCCGCTGGAGCTGCGGACGCGGACGCGTGGCGCCCACCCCACAGCCTCGCCGATTGAGCGGCTCCCGTAGCGGAGGAATGAAGTACCCACGGACGGACGGGGCGCGGGCTGCAACGAGGGGGAGATCGAATTACCCTCAAACTACCCGGTCGGGTAAAACCGGCAGAGCAGCATTGCTGCAGACTGTTGGTCGCCTGTGAAACACCCCAGCAGTGCCTTCCTTCCTCCGTCTCTGCTGCGATGGCGTTTGCGCCGTGGGGAACGGACGCGAGCGGCAGGTGCCCTCGCCCGTCTGATTGACGTTGAGAGCGTCGCTCGCCCCGAACGCCTCGACAGCCCCACAGCGCCTTCCTCCAGTCACCTCTCGGCTCTCGGCCCCAATCCGATCGTCAGCCGCGGTGGGGGGATGTTAACTACCTCGCCTGGTATGCAGGAAGTCGTGGTTTTGATCCCGACCTTGACGCCTGCCGCTGTATATTTGGAGTTTGCGTGCCTCTCTCCCCGTGGTGGCGTGGAATTTTCTCCGGGTCCTCCGGTTTTTTACTCCACATTTAGAATCGGCGTCACGCGTTCAGAGTATTTGGCTGCTATACATTTCCACGCGATAAGCCACTGCGTTGAGCTGTCATTTGTGGCCAGGTCGCTTCTGAAGTAAATAGCTGTATAGCTCAGTGGGCCTTACCTGGGAAAATTTTAAGTTTAGTTTTATATTTTATAGATGTCCCCGTCAGCACAAGGTGTGCGCTGTGTGTACGTGTGTACGCATCGCTGTGCGAATTTGCGCGATGGAGCGTGCGAGTGTGTGAGTACGAATGAACGTGCCGTGCCGCCCTCAATAGGTGCTCGCGAACAGTACCTGCCCCTAGCGCCGCTCGCCGTGCTCGAACGGAGACCTTTGACCGCGCGCGTCCGTGCGTGCTTTTGTGCTTTCAGAGCTGAGAATTATTGGTGGCGTGGACAGAACAAGCGAACCCTGCAGGTGAGTCGGGGAAGAGCCCGAACCGGTGGTGTGGTTGGCATGAGCCCTGGCGCAAGGAATTAGATGCCCACCCCCCCCCCCCCCCACCAATCTCCCGCCCCCCTCAAATTCCACCCCCCCACCAATCCCCCGCAACCCTCAAATTCACCCCTCACCAATCACCCACCCCCCTCAAATTCCACCCCCCCCACCAATCCCCCGCCCCCCTAAAATTCCACCCCCCCCCCCACCAATCACCCGCCTCCCTCAAATTCCACCCCCTCAAATTCCACCCCTCACCAATCACCCACCCCCCTCAAATTCTACCGCCACCCCACCAATCACCCGCCCCCCTCAAATTCCACCCCCCCACCAATCCCCCGCCCCCCTCAAATTCCACCCCCCCCCCCACCAATCACCCACCCCCCTCAAATTCTACCCCCCACCAATCACCCGCCCCCCTCAAATTCCACCCCCCCACCAATCCCCCGCCCCCCTCAAATTCCACCCTCCCCCCCCCCCACCAATCACCCACCCCCCTCAAACTCTACCCACCCCCCGCCTTGTAGCCCAGTCGTCTCGGGTTCCTCGGTGCAGTTACACCGCCTGCACACCACGCGGTAGGTGCACCACTGACGAACGAAACTGGCGCGGCGAGAGAGGAGAGGCAGACGAGACGGGGGGGGGGGGGGGGGGGTGTCGTGGAGTGAGAGCGACGGAGATGGAGTCAAATGGCAAGAGAGTGAAAGACGAGGTGACCACGACGGAGACCAGTTGGCTGTTTTTGTTATTTAGCTTTGTGTGGGTTCATTGGGATTTTAATCGGAGCCCGATCTTCGGTTCGCCCCAAATCTCCTGTGACGCTCCGGCCGCGACGTTCCGGCCGCGACGTTCCGGCCGCGACGCTGAAATCCTCGTGACGGGCCCCACAGGTGGGGCCCTTCCCGCGGAACGTGGTGACGGCCGTGGCCGGCCTCTCGGCCCACGACATCAGCCTCCCGCTCAAGAACAGCTTCATCCACACGGGGCATGGCGCCGTGCGGCCCGAGAACAGCTGGGGGCACCCCGACCGCATCGACGAGTACGCTCGCTCACCCTCGCTCACCCTCTCACCCTCTCACCCTCTTACCCTCGCTCACCCTCGACCACCCCTCACCCTTGCTCACCCTATCACCCTCAATCACCGTGTCACCCTCACTACAGCGACGAGTGCGTGAGATCAACACTGACCCTCACTCACCGCACTGACCCCCAGTTACCACACCAACAAGTGTGTGATCCTCTGTGTGTGTGTATGTGTGGGAGCGTGTGTGTATGCGTGCGTGTGTTTTCTACCTTAAATGAGTACCTTGCGTGGTGTGTAGTAAACGTCGCCACTGGGAAGACAAAGGACACCCGAGTGTGGTGCTGGCCACCCACCCCCACGTGCGCCGTGCCGGTCTTCATCGGTTGCCGCTCGCTCACAGCACTTGCCCCAACAGCCTGCTCAGACTATACTGGGGGGGATCTCCGTGTGTGTGTGTGTGTGCGTGCGTAGCCTGTACCTGGGCAACCCCATGGAGCCACCGGACGTGCTGCAGGGAGCCATGCTGCCCACCTCCCTGCCCGGCCGTGTCCGGAGTGAGTGCTGGGGGAGCCCCACACGCGGTCCCGCGATCTCCGCGGTGCACAGCGGTGCCCGGTGACGTGGGCCCCGCTCCGCACGGCAGGGCACGCGCGCCGGGCAACGCTCGCCAATCGCTCGCGGACCGCTCGTTCGCAGCTCACGAGCGGCTCGTTTACTGACGGCTCTCCGCACGCGGCCGTACGTTTCTGTGCCCGCGTGCATGCGTGCGTGCTCGGTGGAGTGTGCACGGGGGAGCGGGTAGCGTGGTGGTTGGCGCTACGCTGCGCTACGAACCCGGCGACCCGAGTTCGATTTCCGCTCACTGCTGACACCGGTGACAATTATCTGAATCGGTCCTGGGCCTCCCCTAGGTCGGCTCGGCCTCAAATGAGTACCTGGTACGGTGTGTAAACATCGCCACTGGGGAGACAAAAGCAGCCGGGCGTGTTGCTGGCCACCAACCCCCTTCGTGTGCCGTGTCGGCCTTCATAGGTGCTGCTCGCTAACAGCACTTGCCCCAACAGCCTGTTTAGGCTATACCGGGGGGGTCTTTGTCAGTGGGGTGTGCTCACCAATGGCTTACCGACCGCTCACCAGCAGCTCACCAATTGCTCAGTTAATTTCCTGTCAGTTCACTCACTACCAGCTAACTAACGCCTCGCTCGCCGTGTGTGTTTGTGTGTGTCGCACGCTCGCCGTGTGTGCGTGTGTCACACGCTCGCCGTGTGTCTCACACGCTCGCCGTGTGTGTTTGTGTGTGTGTCGCACGCTCGCCATGTGTGTGTGTCGCACGCTCGCTGTGTGTGTGTCTCGCACGCTCGCCGTGTGTGTGTGTCGCACGCTCGCCGTGTGTGTGCGTGTGCGTGGCACGCTCGCCGTGTGTGTCGCACGCTCGCTGTGTGTGTGTGTGTGTCTCGCACGCTCGCCGTGTGTGTTTGTGTGTGTTTGTGTGTGTGTCGCACGCTCGCCGTGTGTGTGTCTCGCACGCTCGCTGTGTGTGTGTGTCGCACGCTCGCCGTGTGTGTGCGTGTGCGTGGCACGCTCGCCGTGTGTGTCGCACGCTCGCTGTGTGTGTGTGTGTGTCTCGCACGCTCGCCGTGTGTGTTTGTGTGTGTTTGTGTGTGTGTCGCACGCTCGCCGTGTGTGTGTCTCGCACGCTCGCTGTGTGTGTGTGTCGCACGCTCGCTGTGTGTGTGTCTCGCACGCTCGCTGTGTGTGTGTGTGTCGCACGCTCGCTGTGTGTGTGTCTCGCACGCTCGCTGTGTGTGTGTCTCGCACGCTCGCTGTGTGTGTGTGTGTCGCACGCTCGCTGTGTGTGTGTCTCGCACGCTCGCTGTGTGTGTGTGTCGCACGCTCGCCGTGTGTGTGCGTGTGCGTGGCACGCTCGCCGTGTGTGCGTGGCACGCTCGCCGTGTGTGTCGCACGCTCGCCGTGTGTGTGTGTGTGTCTCGCACGCTCGCCGTGTGTGTGTGTTTGTGTGTGTTTGTGTGTGTGTCGCACGCTCTCTAACCGCTCACTAACGGCAGTGCGTTACATCACTGTGTTCCATTCCCCCCCCCCCCCCGTGTCGTTGCTCAACCTCTGTTCCTCCCCTTTTCTCTCTCTGTCTCCTTGCTGCTTTATGCTGCTGGGGTAGAGGAGCCCCCACCTCGCCCCCCACAGCCGGCCATCATGGGCAGCAGTAAGCACGGCGACGCGATAGCCACCGCTGTTATGACCGCCACCGCCACGACCGCTACCACCATCACCACCGCCACCACCGCCACCACGGCCACCACTACCGCTATCACCACCGCCACCACCGCCACCACCGCCACCACCATCACCACCGCCACCACCGCCGGCACCGCCGCTACTACTGCCACCGCCACCATCACCACCATGCTACCACCATGCCACCACCATGCCACCACCACCACCACCGCGACCACCACCACCTTTACCACCGCCACCACCGCTACCACTGCCGGCATCGCTACCACCACTGCTACCATCACCGCCGCCACCACCACCACCACCACATTCTGCCCCCCTCCCCCCCGTTAGTGTTGGGTATCCACGGCTATTGAAGGGCAAACCTGTTCCGTGGTGACCCGCATACTTGATCGGTCTTCCTATGATCGATACATCCCGGGTCTAACCAGGCTGGATCGCAGTTCAAGGAGCTCACAGACGCTTGAAAGTGCTGAAAGCAGTGCCCATTATCGGCAAGCTCCTCTGGCAGTCGATGCTGCGTTGGCTGGGTCACGTAGCCCGCATGCCCAGCCACGGCTTTCCCAAGGAGCTTCTGTTTGGCCGCATAGAGGGGGCTAAACGGGCGCGGCGTGGGCTGGAGAAGAGATGGAGCTGATGCGGTACGGGAGGATGTGGAGCTGAGTGGACTTGCCGCTGACCGGTACCAGCGGTGTCAAGATCGGCCTCTGTGGAGGAGGCTCGTGAAGGACGCTGCTCGGCAGCGTCCTTCATCCAGCAACAACTGAGGGTGGCACCTAGCCTGCCATAAGAGCCGTGAGGTCATCACCTCCACTTCGTGGTGAATGGTGACCATTGTGGGTGTATCTGCCTCTATCTGTTTACTTGTGCGCGAGCATCCTGTGTGTTAATACGTCATAGTGCCTGCTGCGTACTTGCGCGTGTTTTGCGCGAGAGCGTGTGACCGAGCCGCATGCCTTCGTGTTTGTGTCTGCGCGTCTGCGTGCGTGCAGGTCCACTGTACGACCCCGTGGCCGCGGAGGAAATCGGGGAGATCGTTCCCTCGGCCGCTCGCGATTCCGGCGGCGCTGGCGGCGGCGGGGGCTCCGTGCCGCCAGCGACAGGCGGAGGCGGCGGCGGTGGCGGCGGCGGCGAGTCCAGCGGAGCGCGCAAACTCAACCTCAGGAGGCTGGCGCTCCCGCGGCCGCACCGCGGCGCCGCGCGCCCCTCGGCTCGCGTGGCCGCGGTCCCTTCGGAGCGGTCGCGCGACCGCACGATGAGCGCCTTCTGCGAGGAGGTGTCGCTCATCGACCTGAGCGACGAGGGGCCGGCGCCGCCGCGCCCGCGCTCGGCGCTCCCCTCGCTGTCCGCAGGTTCGGGCTGCCTGCTGGGCAACTCGCCCCCCGCGAGCCCCACGCGCTCCCTGCCTCGCCCCCTGCACCCCATCTCCCTCTTGGGCCGGGAGCTCCGCTCGCCCGACGGCGCCCCTCCCTACGACTGCGTCCCCCACGAGGACGAGCGAGACGCCTGCCGCGGCGACGCGGGGTTCGCTCCCGACGGCCCCGCCGCGGGCTCCGGCCGGGGCTCCCCGTGGCCCCGCGACGGCCCGGCCTCGCCCGCGGCCCGCGGCGAGGCCAACCTGGCCTTCGAGGCCGAGGCGCCGGCTCGGCGCCCGCGCGACGACCGGGGGACGGGCGCCGGGGAGCGGGGGGGCGGGCCCGACCCGCGGCAGGCGGTGGAGCTCTTCGCCGAGCTGCAGAGGGAGTGCATGGCCAGCCTGGAGCTGCCCGCCAACCCGTGCCTGCTGCCGCCCTCCGTCTTCGCGGCCCGATCCTCGCTCTCCTCCACCCCGCGGCTCCCGCCCAGGGCACCCCTGGAGCCGGACGCGACGGCGCCCCGCGGGGGCGGCTGGGGCGGCCGCGCCTCCGCGGCGCCGCGCCTCCCCCCGCGAGAGTCCGCGTCGTCGCTCCCCGCGTCGTCGCTCCCCGCGTCGTCGCTCCCCGCGTCGTCGCTCCCCGCGTCGTCGCTCCCCGCGTCGTCGCTCCCCGCGTCGCGCACCCCGAGCCCCTGCGGATTCCCGGCGGGGCCGCCGGCGGACCGGCGCGGCAGCGTGAGCTCCGCGTCGTACCCTCGGCCTACCATCGGCGCGGGGGGAGTCGGGGGCGGCGGCGGCGGAGGCCTCGGCCTCTTCCTGCCGCTGTCGCGGTCGCACTCGGAGCTGAGCTGCGCGCGAGAGGGAACGACCCCCGACCTCTTCCCCGAGTCGCTCGGCGCTTCCGGAGCGCGAGGGCCCTGCATCCTGCCCATCATGCGCGACGGCAAGCAGGTGAGCGCCGGCCGAGCGGAGCCCTCGCGAGTCCCCGCGGCACGGCGCTCCGTGCGGTTCGCCGGCCACGCGCGCACGAGGGCCATTTCTTTTGTTCACGACGGGCCGGGAACGGTTCGACTCGCGCACGCGCGGTCCCGACACCCTCCCGGGGCGCGACGACGCGGCGGACGTAGATGACCGCCGGCTCGCGTCTCGCGTTATAACCCCTCGTCAGGCCGGCCGTCGTTTTTTAACGTCTCCGGCGTTGGCGCCGCAGGTGAGCTCCACGCACTACTACCTGCTCCCCGAGCAGCCCGGAGGCGTGCCGGGAGGAGGAGGAGGAGCGAGCGGCGTGGGCGCTGTCGGGGCGGCGGGCGAAGCGGGGGGCGCGTCGCACTTCCCGGGGGCCGGGGGGGGGCATCGCCACGGCGACGCCAGGAGGCCCGTCATGGCCGCCGTGCGGCCGCTCGGCATGGAGGAGCGGGGGGGCGGCGGCGGCGGCGGCGTGGTCGTCGCGACCCCGACGGTCGCGCCTCCTCCCGACGCGCGAGCCCTGAGGCTGGCGCTGCCGTCGGCGCGGGCGACCGCCGCGGGGGTCGGCGCCGTGGGACAGCGGGGCCAGCGGAGCGGCGGAGCGGGCGGCAGCTTCGGCGCCGCGGCGGATCCGCAGACGCCCCAGGACAAGATCGGCCAGGTGCCTGGCGGCCGGCCGCCTTCCGGCCACGGCCCTCCGTAGCCGTTTGCGACGCGCGGAACGTTCGATGGAGCAGCCCCGGCGGCAGCTGTCCCCTGTGTGGCACGAGGCGGCTCGGCACCGTGAGCAGGAATGTGTCGGCGTGTAGGGTGGGCGGGCCGATGTTGCAACGTCGTTTTCACCCATTCAAGTGATTTGCGCTGAAATTTTGGCAAAGTTTGGACCGTGACGCCGGCACGCGTGCCCTCCTCATCTTCACGTAACATCACCTGTTCACGGTTAATGCATCCGCAGTTTGAATCAGGGCGGCCGGCCACTGGAACTTCAAACCACAAACCTCTGCGACTCACCGCTCGTTCGTGCCGTGACGGCACCCCGCGGGCGGGATAGGTGCCTGGGCCCGAGGAATTTGTGCGTAGGCGTGCGTGGGTGCAGGCATGCATGTGTGCGTGCGGAATGGTGCTGCGGTGGTTAGCGCGCCGCGCTACGAAGCCGGAGACCCAAGTTCGATTCCCGGCCACGGCTAATATGGGTGGCGAGTGAATTCTGAACCGGTTCTTGGTCAACTCGGTTTTTTAATGAGTACCTGGTGCGGCTTGTGAACATCGCGGCCGGGCATGGCGTCGACCACAGCGGTATGTTAAAGTGTACACGGGGGATGTTTGTCTGCGTGCGTGCAGGTGCAGCTGCTGGTCCATGGAGTCACGACGGACGAGTGCCAGGCGGCGCTGCAGGCGCACCTGTGGGACGTGCCCCGTGCAGTGCACTACCTCAAGGTACGCGCGCACTGCCTGCGCGCGCCACCTCAACAGAGATTCCCCGTGTAGCCTTAGCGGACTGTCGGGGCAAGTGCTGTTAGCGAGGAGCTATGTAGGCCGGCACGGCGCACTAGGGGCTGGGCGGCCAGCACCACCCCCGCGTTGCCTCTGTCTCCCCAGTGGCGATGTTCACACACCGCACCGTGCACTCGTTTGACTGGTTCAGATAATCGTCATCGGCGTTGGCAGGAAGAAAAAAAAGCGTATGTTATGCGTGACATGCGAGCGAGCGTTCAGACGGTGCGACGGGTAGGGCCGCGTGACGCGCCGTGGCGACGATGCGGGCGGCAGGGTCGTGGCGGCAGCTTAGTGGTGACACTTGCGGCTCGCAGCAAGAAGGCCCTGAGTTAGATTCCCCTCTCGGGCTCCTTTCTGCGCGGAGTTTGTCATGTTCCCTACACTGTTGTGCGGAGTACGAGGGAGAGTGTCTGAGCGTGGGTGTGAGCGAGTGAGTGGCTGGGTCATGTAGTCCGCATGCCCAGCCACCGCATGACCAGCCACCGCATGACCAGCCACCGCATGCCCAGCCACCGCATGCCCAGCCACCGCATGCCCAGCCACCGCATGCCCAGCCACCGCATGCCCAAACAGCTTTTGTTCAGGCGGATAGAGGGAGCTAAACGGGTGCGGCACGGGCTAGAGAAGAGATTAACTTTTGCGATACGGGAGGATGTGGAGCTGAGTGGACTTGACGACGACCGGCACCAGCGGTGTCAAGATCGGCCTCTATGGAGGAGGCTCGTGAAGGACGCTGCTGGGCAGTTGGTGGCAGTCGCCCTCCAGCAACAACGGAGGGCGGAGGAGCGACGCTCGCAACAACGAGCGGAGCGCCAGGCGGCTAAAAGACAGAAAGTTGGCACAGTAGGGGACACAGGTGGTGCATCTGCCGGTCATCTCAGTCAGTCAACCCATGGTACTTGGGTCTGTTCCTTGACCTCCTGTTAGTGAGCGTTCGACACTTCACGTCGACTTGAAGTGCATCTGGCCTGGCATAGGCGCCGCTTCGTGGCGAATGGCGATTGTTGTTGTTGTTGTTGGAGTTTGTCTCTTCTCCCGTTTTTCTACATCGATTTCCTTCGAGTTCTCCAGTTTCCTCCCAATACCAGTTACAGTGAAACCTTGGATTGCGAGTAACTTGGTCTGCGAGTGTTTTGCAAGACGAGCAAATATTTTTAAGTAAATATTAATTTGATAAACGAGCGAGGGTCTTAGCAATACGAGCAGTGTACGTGTACGCTTTGTACTGCCGAGCGTCACGTGATCACAACTGATGTACGAGTGCTTTGGATTACAAACACGTTTCCGGAACGAATTATGCTCGCAATCCAAGGTGTTACTGTACCTGCAAGTGAAATGCACAGCAGCGGCAACATCGCCCCCTACTGCGAAAACTTGGCAGGACCCTCCTGAATAACCGTCTTAAGATTCAGTGAGAGTTTTGCTGGGTAAACCAGCGTAATAATAAATGATGACGACGATGATGTTGTTGGTACCACGTGTCAGGTGGAGCAGCTCTTCTGTCTGGGGTTGAAAAGCCGGGCCGAGTGCGAGCGAATCCTCGAGAAGTTCGACTGGAACCTGGAGCTGGCGAGCAGCTTCCTGCTCGGCCACTACAGCTCCCTGCGCTACCGGTACCTTGGAGCCCCACCCCACCCCTACCAACACACCCCCTCTGCCCCCCACTCCGCCCCCCGTGAGCCTCCTCCCCAGTAGCAGGGCCTCGTCGGACGCGAGACGCTCGTGGCTGGCGTGCTTGCATCAACCAATGATTCTCGCGTGCGACGTTCGTTTTTCGAGTCGCGCGTATTCTGCCCGCCGCTGGGGTTTTGCTCAGGATTAACGGAGGTGAACCGCGCAGTTGGGACGTGGGACAAGAAAAAAACAAGCGACGATCCAAAAGCACCGCAGAGAAGTCGGGCGCGGGGGGGGGGTGCGGTAGGAGGGGAAACCACTCGCACGCACGCACGGATTTAATATCGGATTTCCAATCAGATCATCCCGCAGCTCCAAGCCGCCACCACGAGGCCGGTCTCCCATCGAAGTGACTAAACCCGGCTCGAGCCTGCTTGGCTTCTCGGATTCGATACGGTCGGGCCCACGGGGGGCCGCGGGGCTCGCTGGGGACGGTCGGGCACGCCGGGAGCGACCTTGCCGTTGGCCGGGTTTGCCCGTGACGGCCGCGTGCGGTGCGTGCTGTGCTCCGCAGGCGCTGACGACTCCACCGGCGGTCCGAGCGGGGCCCAGGTGGCCGGGGTGAAGGGGGACACCGCCCCGCCGGGAGTGAAGGGGGCGGGCGTCCTGCTGACGCGAGGCCGGGCGGCGGAATTAATGTGCCGTCGTCGCCGTGTGGCGCGGCGGCGGCCGCTGCTGCTGCTGCTGCTGCTGCGGGGCATCCCGTATATTTATTTACTGTTTGTTTAAATATCCATGCCAGTTGGTGGGGAGAAGAGGAAAAAAATATTATTAGAGAATTATCCGTGTTGACCTTGTTGTTGTTCCAACAATTGCAATCGTTACACAATGTGCAGAAATGGATTCCTGTGGAGTTGACTCGGACCAACCCCGCGTCACCCACCAAGATGCCAGCACCACCGCCGCCATCATCAATGAAACCACGGTGGGGAAAGTCCGGCACGTCAAGGGACCGCGTCTCACACGGGCCCCAGATTTAATCTCACGCGGTCCCTGCCCACGTGAGAGGCCACCCCACACCCCCTTTATGAAACGGGCCGCAAAGGATATTAACCCCCCCCCCGGCTCTGTCATCCCAGTAATGCATGTGGATACGCCACGGTTAGTCGATCAGCAGGTTACGTGCGGTGGCGTAAAGTGTGTGGGTACTTTCAAGAGGTCTTGCCAGCATGCGAGAGTAGGCCAAAGTCCTCTCCACCAGGAGCGGCGTGAGCAGGCACTTGCAACGGCTGACGTTTTTCCCCGCCGTTGAGTTTCAACACCTCACCGAAGGTCAATCCTCTCGCCTCTGCTCGAGGCGACGCAACTGCAATGTGCCGCGCCGTGCTCTCTCGTCCCGCCATCGTCGCCGTCCGTGCGGTCGCCTCCATCCCCCGCGACGGTGGCGAGCGGCCACGCTGCGGCCGCCCGGGGAGACTGGGGTCTGGCGGACTCCGGTTTAGATCACCGGCAAGACGACGCTCCCGACCCACGGGCGAGCGACGTGGAAACTGCCGAGCCCCTTCGCTGACGAGCGCCGCCCGTGCCCCTTCTGGCTTTTGTGACGAGCCGCGCGCGTGCGTGGCAACTGGCGACTCTGTGCGTTTGTAGACAACCGGTAGTTTTGCTGCGGACGATGCGTCGATACGCCGCACGACGTGCGATCCACGTGTCGTCGGTCAGCGGCGGGCTGTACTTGCAACTCGCCGGTTCCATTTGATCTCCATCCGGCGGCGGCGGCGGCGGCGGCGGCAGTTGAAAACAACGGTGCAGGTTTCTTGTCAAAATAATCCCCGCCCCGCTCCACCGCTCCACATGCGTCTGTCTGCCCCGCAGTACGAGTGCGTGCTTTACCGCAGGTCACGTGTGGAGGGGTAACGGTGTGTGAGTACTCCCACCTATTCAAGGACGTCCGGCCAGTGTGGAAGAGTAGGCCAAATACCTCTCTGGGGAGGAGGCCCTTCTCTCACCAGCGATGTCAGCAAGTAATTACAGGGTTGCGCCTTTTATCTTTTTATTATTATTATCCCGAGATAAAATCGTATCGCCCGTTCATCAAAATATCATTGCTGATTAATTTTTATCATTTTGTTTTTATTTCCTGAAAAGGTATTCGTCAACAAGCACGATATCATACGTTACAAAATCAATTAACATCCTTGCGTGAAGTTAGCGCTGTCCAAAAGGCATCCCGGTGCACGTGGCAGCGTGGCGTTCACGATGCCATCGGTATGTTTATAGCACAGCCGTTCTTTTCGTGATTCACTCATATCGCGTGCGCAACTGACAGCTCGTGCTCTGCAAGCATTACACTTTGTAAAGTTGCCATGATTGTTCGGCCTATTGACCAGCCCTAGGTTGAGCGAAATGCAGCTGAGGAACATTGAAGTCAACTTCACATTCAGACTGGACGTGGGGCAAAATCACGACGACGGTGCTACGCGACCTTGCCCGGTGACGCCGACATGGCGACAGTCGTCACGGCCGAGATCGTCGTATCGTGGGAAATGACATCGCGGTAGGGGCGGGGGGCTGTGCCGGCTACGCCGCTGGCGCTGGCGTTAAAACCGGCAACTGCGGGAGGCTCGATCGGTCCCTGGATTCCCAAAACCCGCGGTGTGACCGGCCACGTCGCTCAGAACGCGCACCCCAACCCAACCCAACTCGGAAGCTCAGCGGGGTTGTTGGTCCCGGACGGCGCTCGGATGACGGAGTGACCGCCGGGCGCACCTGGGTTTGTGTTGCGCGGCCGTGGAGCTGCGCTGCCCGGTACCCAACGAGCATTGGGTCAACGTCGGGCCGACGTTGGGCACGTGGTTGGAACCGTTGGGCCCAACGTCGGCTCAACGTTGACGTGCGGTTGGAAACCGTTGGGGCCGACGTCGGGCACGTGGTTGGAACCATTGGCGCCAGCGTTGGCTCGGCGTTCCCACGCTCACTGGGTACGTGGCAGTCGCCGTTGTACCGCGCTTCTACGCTCCCACGCCTGCGGCCCTCCGCCTCCACCAACCTGCGTTGGGTGGCGGCGTGCCAAAATAACTAGCAGCGGCTTTAACCGGTTGCACGAAGCGCTGCCTCCCATGCGCCGCAATGACCTTGCGCGGGCAGTATTATTGGGCGCGTGAACGCGCGTGCAGGTGACCCCCTCGCCCCTCTCCCGTGTTGGAGGCGTCGTGGCGCGAGGGCCACCTCTGGTGCGCGGCGGCCCCCACAGCGGCCCCCACAGCGGCCCCCACAGCGGCCCCACAGTGGCCGAGCGCAGGACCGTGGTTTTGTTGCAGATGCGCGCGCGTGCAGGGCGGTATCGTAGGCCGGCGTGGAGGTGTCCATAATGTTTTGTTGGTGGACCGCCGCCGTCGTCGTCATCGTCGTCGTCGTTGTCGTCGTTCGGTGGTGGTGGTGGAAGAGTTGTAGAACGCGACGGCGTGGTCCGAGGTGGTGGTGGTGGTGTAGTGGTGGTGTAAGAGGTGCGGAACGAGGCTTCTTGAGGCACAGGCACGGCTGCTATCCTGTTACAGTCTCTGTCTAAAGAGGGCAAATTGAATCTGTTGGGGGGGGGGCATCTGTCCGTAGCGGGTGATGTAATGAATGTGTGTGCTGTGTGCAGGCGAGGTTTTTCTCAGTGTTAGTGGCCATGTGCTGTGTGTGTGTGCAATGTGTGTTTTGTGTGTGCTGTGTAGTGTATGCTGTGTTCATGCCGTGTGTGCTGCGTGTGTGAGTTAGAGCGGCAGCTCGGTGGTTGGTGCACCGCGCTACCAACCCGGCGGTCTGAGTTCAATTCCCGCTCGGTGACAGATATGTGAACCGGTCCTGGGCCTCTCCTAGGTCGACTCGGACTCTAATGAGTACCGCGCGTGTATACCTAAGCCAAGGGTGGGGAACTTCCGGCCCGCGGGCCGTATGAGGCCCGCGAAATCATTTGGTGTGGCCCTGCCAAGGCAACCGCAGGCGGGACTCGAAATTCAATAAATCTAGGTAGAGCAAACCTGGAAAAGCAGTCGCGAGTAGCAACATCGTCAATACCAGCTAACATCATCACACGCCTCGCCAAAGAGAAGCAGTTCCAGCCATCGCATTAGGGGTGAGTTAATGAAATGTTTGACGAAATATAACAGGCAAATGTTTAAGTTGATAATTTTGTATGGCCCGCAAATGATGATGTTATAAATATCCAAATGGCCCTTGGCACAAAAAAGATTCCCCACCCCTGACCTAAGCATTGGGGGGACAAAGGTGGCCGGGGGTGGTGTTGGCCACCCACCTCCTCGTGACCAGTGCCGGCCTAAATTGGGTGCCCACTAACAACATCTTCCGTTTAAGGCTACACGGGGGATCTTTGTCTTTGTACCAATGGCTGTGTGTCCCCTCTTCGTGTGCACGCTGCGCCGTGCAAGGTGTGTACGCCGGGTCATGCGTGTGGCACGCGTGTGTCGGCTGTGCTGTGTCTTGTATGCACCAAGTCCTGTGTGAGTGTTCGGTGTGCTCCTTGTTGTATGATTTCATTTCTCCGTCTGGCGTGTGTACCGTTATGTGTGTGCTCGGTGTGCTGTGTAGAATCTGAGTGGGTTGTTAAATCGGTGTGCTGTCTTGCGTGTACTGTGATGTATGCCGGTCTTAATAGGTGCTCGCCGACAGCACTTGCCCCAATGATCTGTTAAGGCTATACGGGCGACCTTTTGCCCTTTGCTGCTATCGACTGCCTGACTCCTGTTCCCGTGACCGCGGACGCTCGCGCGTGTGTGCACGTTGTGTGTGCGCGTGTGTGTGTGCGCGTGTGTGTGTACGCGTGTGCGTGCGTGTGTGTACGTGCGTGCGTTTTCGTGTACGTGTGTACGTGTGTGCACGTGTGTGTGCGTGTATGTGTGTACGTATGTGCATGTGTGTGTACGTATGTGCGTGCGTGTGTGTACGCGTGTGTGCACGTGTGTGCGTGCGTGTGTACGCGTGTGCGTGCGTGTGTGTACGTGCGTGCGTTTTCGTGTACGTGTGTACGCGTGTGTGCACGTGTGAGTGCGTGTATGTGTGTACGTATGTGCGTGCGTGTGTGTGCGTGCGTGCGTGTGCGTGTGCCCGTGCGGAAGGAAGGAAGCTTTTATGATGAAACGGTATTTATGAATTTTTATCTCGCTGGAAAAAGGTATTTTTATTCTTCTTCTTGTTGTTGACACGCGGGAATGTCGTGTGGGGTTGCTGTGAGCTCTTGCCGACGTTGATAGCCGAGTGCGTTGCTATCCCCGTCAGCATCATCGGGTTGTTGTTTGTTGTTAGTGCCGTCGTGCGGAATGACAGAGCCCTTGGCACAATGAACACGACAAAGGTCCCCCGTATAGCCCTGCAGACTGGTGGGGCAAGTGCTGTAAGCGAGTAGCGCCCATCAAAGTCGGCACGGGACACGAGAGGGCGCAGTGGCCGGGACCACTCCTGGGCCGCCTTTGTCTCTCCCCACCCCCACCGTGCCGACGTGTACACCAGGGGACTCGTTTAAGGCCGAGTCGACCAAAGAGTGGCCCAGGATCGGCTTCGATATTCGTCACCAAATGTTGGGCCAGTGAGCGATGTTTTGGCGAGCCCAGGTTCCATAGCGCAGGGTGTGCTAACCACTACATGACCGCTCCCCAGAGCACTTGCCCCAACAGCCTGTTTAGGCTACACGGGGGTGGATCTTTGACACAAACCGATTAACATTCCACGTTACAAACTTACAATGCAAATATAGTGGTGGCAAGAGATTTGAGATGAGCCCTCTCTTCGAGGTCACGTGTTCAAGGGGGTCGCGTAAATCGAAGAGGTCTCCTTCCCCCTCCGCCTTGTCTGCTCTGTTGTGTAAATAAAGCTGCGTCGTATCTGTCGGCTCGGTCTCTCGCTGGTTCACTGCCCTCCTGCCGACCTTGGGAATCCGCCGCGGCTCTCACGTGAAGCGCCGAGTCGTATTTTGTCTCGAGCAGGCGAGAACTCGGGAAGGCACGAGGGGTGGAGAGAGCTCGCTGCTGGAGCAAGGCGACTCAACATCTGTCCGGCTTGCAAATGGGCACCAGGCTGAAACATGTTTCTTTAAAACTGCTTTTTGTGTTTAGTTTATTGTCCTTCCCCCCCCCACGCCTCCGATTAGCGCTGTTGGCTACGTACGGTGTGAAAGAAGTACATACGGTGGGGGGGGGGGGTCCCGTTCCACCAGCGGTGATCACTGCTGTGTGTATATTCCCCCGAGTCATTTGCGGTGTCATTTTCGAATTTGGCAATCGGTGCATGGTGCCATCGCCACCACCACCGCCGCCGCCGCCTGTGCCATCTCTCTCTGCCCAAACTCGGCTCAGGCTCCAAACCAGTCTGGAGGTCTCCTGTGTCACTTATACGGTGTGCTTCAAACATGTTTCAACACTTAGATGGGACTATTGTTTTTAATGGAAAGAGAACGGAAAATACACTGTTACCTGATAACAAATGTAATGTTAATTGCTTCAAAAAGTGTTCGCCATCATTGTCAAAGCATTCCTGGAATCCATATTCTTGGTTCTTTCGGTAAAGTCACGTAGAAGGGAAACAATAAAATAATAAAAATATAAAACAATAAAATTATCACGACGTTTCGACTGCATTCGTGAACACAAAGCAGACCTAAAACACGGTAGGACCAACACCTCGGCCGTGGCAGATCACTGTTATAATTCAGTAGGCTCACATGACATTAACTTCTCCAAGACAGAGGTTCTTTGCAAGCCATCTGGCTACCATGAGAGATTCGTTCATGAGGCTATCCACATATACAAACACAGACAATTTCAACCGAGAAGATGGATTCTGGCTTAGCAATCATTGGAAGGATTTGATAAACCATTTCGGGTCTTAATTGATTGATCACGCTTACGGTGGCTTTCAGACCGCATCCATTATTTTCGTCTCCCCCTCCTCTTTTCCGAACATAGATGGACTCGTCCATCTGAACAAACTGTCAAATCGCTCTCCGTGGTACTAACGTAAAAAAAAACCCGCCACTTTTTTCAAATTTTCTTGCTGTGGCTTTCACACCTGATGATTGCTTCTTGCGTTGCAGTCGAAACGTCGTGAGAATTTTATGTTTTTATTATTTTATTGTTTCCCTTCTACGTGGTGACTTTACCGAAAGAACCAAGAATATGAATCCCTGCAGTCACGAAAGCCTGAAATCAAAATTCATTCCTGGAATCTTCTCCAGGCTGCCTCCAGAGCTCGGAGGCAGCAGCACGTATCTCTGTGGTGTTGTTGCAAATTCTCAGAAGTGTTCACATCTTTTTTTAAGCACCCTGTAATTCTCCACTCCAACGACAGACACTGGTTATTTTGATATTCTGTGTATAATGTAATTCTGCGCCGAACCAGCAAAGAATATATCTAACAGAGAGGGGCCCTTGCCGATATCGCCCAAGGAGTTCGCCAGCATTGATGCAAGCAAACGCGGTCTCCTGCTTACGAGACACTGTGCGTTGAAACCGGCAACAGGGTGTTGCTTGCATTTAAATCAATGCTGCTGAAGTTACACACTCGCAGACGGCTACCGGGGGGCCGACGGGTTGTGTGCTGTGTAATTAAAAAAAAAGAAAAATAATCTGTGGTTCTTTCGGTAAAGTCACGTAGGTTGAAAAATAAAACAAAAATCACGACGTTTCGATCGTGGTCCTCAGGCGGAATTTTTTTTATCCAGCAGTGTTTTATTTTTCTACCTTCCGTGACCTTACCGAAAGAACCAAAGAGTATGGATTCCTGCAGTCACGAAAGCTTCAAATCAAGAAAAAAGCACTTAAATGTTTTTTTTGTTTACGTGGAGAGACGGTCGTGCGAAGCAGATGAATTCTCACTGCTTTATCAAACCCGATAGACGAGAAGTAACCTACAGTAGTACGCTACAAGAAGCCTAGCACCCCTGGTCACACTGATCAGAGCCTCGAGTCAAAAGTGGTTTCTCGCTCAGGCATCTCGGGATCGGTGCTCACCCACTGTTTAGAGCCCTGCGAGGCCAGTGGTGGAAATTCCACATTTATATGGCGGGGGTGAGTATATCCAGAGGTTCCACCACCGTTATTGACTTCGCCACACAGTTGTGCTCATTTTTACGGGCCCCCGGATGGAGGGAAGTAGGGATGATGATCCGAGTCAACCCAAAATGTGAACTTGCAACCTTGCGATTGCGAGCCGCTCGGTCAGCCCCCCGCCCCCCCGAGTCGCCGGGTGCTCGAGGGGAATGTTTCTGGCTGAGAGCAGCAGCACTCTGCCACTCACTCCATCACCGCGCTCAAGTCACTAATGTCACTCCCAAGGGCCACCTCGCGCTCGGGGCGACGCGCTCCTTACGCGCGTGCACGATGCCACGGCGTGCGTGCCTTCACGCGCAGTTGCCCGCCAAAAGGTTTCTGAAAGTCCTGTTCTGCCCCTCGGTCGGGACGAGGTTCCGCGCCGCGCCAGTCGACGCCTCCGGGCCGACCTTGCGGTGTCGGTCGACGCGCCCGACCCAGGCCAACCGCACAGCAGCGCGCACTCTGGGCAGGCGATTTCTGTTCCAACAATCGAGTGGTGGTTTCCCGCTTGGGGGGAGCGGGCCACGACGCCGCCGGGCCGGCGGTCAGATCTGATAGACGACCTCATGGCGCTGGTCCTGCGACGCCTGCGAGTCGGAGCGCCGGCTCGGGAACGCGCCGTCGCGCACGACCTCCCAGCCGCGGCCCGACGAGGTGCTGGTGACGACGATGGTGGGCGGCTGCAGCTGCTGGCTCTGCTGCTGGGGCTGCGGATTGGTGGGGGAGCGCGTGAAGTGGCCGCCGACGCCCCCCGCTCCCTCGGAGCCGCTTCCCACGTCCTCGGCGCTGCCCCCGCGCCCCTCGCTGAACGCCATGGCGTAGCGCTTCACCTTATGAATGGCGCGCTCGTTCCGATCCTCGATCCTGCGGCACGGCCAGCGGTCGCATTGGACACACGTCACATCTCATAACGTGTCGCGGTGCACTTGGCGCGGGTCGCGTACGACGGAATGCTCGGCACTACTCTGAAGGTTTCCATCGTGGACGTAATCAAGAGTTTGGTGTCACCTGGCTGAAGGGAGCAAAACGAAACCACCAGGATATTCGTCCAAACTGTTCCGGGTGTTGTCTCTCGGCCACCCGCGGCACCGCCAACAGTGGCCGCGCACGCGCCGGTGCCAACCGGCGCGGTGCACAAGGTATGGGTCGCGGTGCCAAGCGGCGCGGTGCACGAGGTGTGGGTTGGGGTGCACGAGGTGTGGACGCGGTGCCAAGCGGCGCGGTGCACGAGGTGTGGGTTGGGGTGCACGAGGTGTGGACGCGGTGCCAAGCGGCGCGGTGCACGAGGTGTGGGTTGCGGTGCACGAGGTATGGGTCGCGGTGCCAACCGGCGCGGTGCACGAGGTGTGGGTCGCGGTGTCAAGCGGCGCGGTGCACGAGGTGTGGGTCGCGGTGCCACCCACCGGAGGAACCGGCGGTCCCCCAGCCCGTACTCTTTGCCGCTCACGCCGGCGCGGAACCGCAGGCAGCGCGGGAGCCTCCGCTCCAGCAGGATGGTCGTGGCCGCCACCTGTGGGCGCGCGCGGAGAAAGAGAACGGAGTTGCCGGCGGGGCTCAGCGGCGCACCTCGCAGTAGCCGCCGCTACCGCCAGCTCAAGTCCCGATCCCCTTCCGGGGGTCACGCTGCCGCCACCGCTGCCGCCGCTGCTGCTGTGACCACCCTCCCTAGAATCTGTAAAACTAAGCTCATGAACTTTTTTTATCTTACCAAGTCAGGGCCCCACTGAGCTATGCAGCTCTTTTTCAGTAGCGACCTGGCCACAATTGATAGCTCAACGAAGTGGCCTATGATCATCATCACGTGGAAATGTATAGCAGCCAAATATCCTGAACGCGTGATGTTGTTGATTCTTAATGTGTAGGGAAAAACCGGAGGACCCGGAGAAAAATCCACGCGACCGCGGGGAGGGAGACACGCAGACTCCAAATATACAGCAGCAGGCGTCAGGGTCGGGATCGAATTCACGACCTCCTGTATATCAGGCGAGGTAGTTAACATTTTATAGCTACCGCGGTGCCCCAATACGGATCCAGAGGAACGCTGCTGCCAAAAAAAGTGGAACAACGCAGACGTCTGGAATAATAAACCATTCCTCATTCGAGAGCCAAATATCATCATCGCGCCTCCCGGCGTTGGAAGTTCCTCCTCTTCCTCAAATACACGTGTGTGTGTGTGACCTGTGTGTGTGTAACCTGTGTGTGTGTAACCTGTGTGTGTGTGAGTAACCTGTGTGTGTGTAACCTGTGTATGTGTGTGTAACCTGTGTATGTGTGTGTAACCTGTGTGTGTGTAACTTGTGTGTGTAACCTGTGTGTGTGAGTAACCTGTGTGTGTGTGAGTAACATGTGTGTGTGTAACCTGTGTATGTGTGTAACCTGTGTATGTGTGTGTAACCTGTGTGTGTGTAACTTGTGTGTGTAACCTGTGTGTGTGAGTAAACTGTGTGTGTGTGAGTAACCTGTGTGTGTACCTGTGTGTGTGTGAGTAACCTGTGTGTGTGTAACCTGTGTGTGTGAGTAACCTGTGTGTGTGTAACCTGTGTGTGTGTGAGTAACCTGTGTGTGTGAGTAACCTGTGTGTGTGTAACTTGTGTGTGTAACCTGTGTGTGTGAACTGTGTGTGTGTGTAACCTGTGTGTGGAACCTGTGTGTGGAAACTGTGTGTGAACTGTGTGTGTGACCTGTGTGTGTGTAACCTGTGTGTGTGTGTGTAACCTGTCTGAGTAACCTGTGTGTGTAACCTGTGTGTGTGTGTAACCTGTGTATGTGTGTGTAACTTCTGTGTGTAATCTGTGTGTGTAACTTGAGTGTGTGTGTGAACTGTGTGTGTGTAACCTGTGTGTGTGTGTGTGTAACTTGTGTGTGTGTGTGTAACCTGTGTGTGTGTAACCTGTGTGTGTGTGTAACCTATGTGTGTGTGTGTAACCTGTGTCTGAGTAATCTGTGTGTGTGTAACCTCTGTGTGTGTGTGTAACTTGAGTGTGTGTGTAACTTGAGTGTGTGTAACTTGAGTGTGTGTGTGTAACCTGTGTGTGTGTAACTTGAGTGTGTGTGTGTGTAACTAGAGTGTGTGTGTGTAACTTGATGTGTGTGTGTAACTTGTGTGTGTGTGTGTAACTTGAGTGTGTGTGTGTAACTTGTGTGTGTGTGAAACCTCTGTGCAAAACAACCCCCTACCTCCTCGCGGTGCCGGACGGGCAACTCTGTCGTGGACAGTGCCATGGGGGGAGGGCCAATTCCGATTGGCTCCTCCCCTCATGGCGTCTGTGTCCACCACAGTGGCTAAACGGGGGCTCTGGACGGGTGCGAGGGGCTGGTAACCCCTCCACCTTCAATTAATTACCACTAAACCACGAGTTAAACTGAAATATGTAACTAATAAGCTTGTGCCGGAGGCCCCGGGGGGCCAGGCGTCTATGACGTCTCCTGGCCAAACCCCAATTGGCGGAGCCAGGAGATTGAATCTCGACCCTCGGGGCTCCTCCAGAAACAACTAAAAGCCACTACGGATGGCCACGTGGAATGTTCGAACGCTCACTGCGGAGGAGAGGCTGCCACTCCTTTGTCGGGAGCTGGACCGGTACCGCCTGGATCTCTGTGGCATTCAGGAGGTCTGGTGGACCGGTTCTGGCTCCTGCCACCATGAGGGGTGGACAGTCCTCTACTCGGGGCAGCAGACTGCCAAATAACAAGGTGTGGCTCTTCTTTTGAACAAAAGAATGAAGGGGGCATGGGAGCGTGGCGGTGAGGTGTGGGAAGCTGTAAGCCCCAGGCTATTTTGGGCTCGCCTTCCCATCAACCGGAGGTGAGGAGTGGTGGTCGTGGTTACTTATGCCCCCACCGAAGACGAACATCCGTGGAGGGATGCAGGCAAAGCCGATTAGTCAGATGCCTTCTATGACCTCCTGTCACAGGTGCTGGCTAAAGTGGCACCTCGGGATAGAGTCATCATGTTGGGTGACTTCAATGCCCGAGTTGGTCATGATGCTGGCACCTGGTCTGGAGTGATTGGAGGGCATGGGCCAGATCAGCTCAATAACAACGGTAGGAGGCTGCTAGATTTTTGTGCAGCCCATGGGCTTGTAATTACCAACACGCTGTTCCGGCATCGGCGCATCCACACAACATCATGGATGCATGCCGGGTCCAAGCAAGAACATCTGCTGGACTACATAGTGACGGACCAGCGGATGCGAGCCCATGTCCTTGACACCAGGACCTACCGTGGAGCTGATCTGCCCTCTGACCATCGACTAGTCATCTGTAAGATGCGCCTGCCATTCTTCCACTCCGGTGGTGGGTGTACACCCAGGACCCCATTCCAACCTAAAGTGGCCTGGTCTCAGTTGATGAAAGTTGCAAGCGAGAATTTCATCATCGCTTGCGGCTGGGGTTGGGATTGTCCCCCACTCCTCCTGATGTCGAGGGTAAATGGGCGAGGTTTAGGACTGTGACTCATGCAGCTGCAATGGCTGCTTTGGGTACACGGTCCAGACCTCCCCAGAGACCCTGGCTGACAGAGGAGGTGTTCAGGATAGTTGAGAAAAAGCGACAGGCCCACTGTCATCGGCTACAGAATCCCACGTCAGAGGATGAGGAGGCTTACCGCAGCCTTCGCTCGGAGGTTCGGAGAGCCGTGAGACGCTGCAAGGATGGGTGGTGGTCGTGGGTTGCTGAGGAGATAGAGTCTGCCTCAGTGGCCCGCGATCACAAATCTCTATTTAACTCCATCAAAAAAGTAACCTGCAGCGCCACACCTATTACCATCATTAGGGGGGAAAACGGTGATCCAATCTCCGACCCCCAGGAACAGGTTTCAGATTTGCTGAGCATTTCTGTGAGGTCCTGGGGGAGGGGAAATCCCTCAGCCAGGAAAACATCGTGGCACAAAGTGGGGATGACCCTGCTGAGGTTGCGGTGCCTCAAATATTGGAAGAAGTCACCCCCTGTGAGTGGCTGGCTGAGGTGCCATCTGTTGAGGAAATACTGAAGGCGATCCAGAGTCTGAGACCAGGAAAGGCACCGGGCAGAGATGATCTCCCAAGCAAAATGCTAAGGGAGGGTGGCGTTTGTGCACAGACTGCCCTCTATGACATCATAACAACCGTCTGGACCACTGGACAGGTTCCGCAGGATTGGAAGGATGCCCTGGTGTTCCCCCTCTTTAAGAATGGCGACCGCACAAACTGTAACAACTACAGGGGCATCTCACTCCTCAGTGTGCCGGAAAAGGTCCTGGCAAGGATTATTCAACATTGCCTTGCCAGGCACACAGAGGAGAGGCTTGCGGAGCCTCAATGCGGTTTCAGGAAAGGGCGGTCCAGCACAGATGCCATATTTTCTGTCCGTCTGCTACAGCAAAGGTGTAGGGAATTCCAACAAGACCTACATCTCTGCTTTATTGACCTGGTCAAGGCCTATTATACCATCAGTAGGCCTGGGCTCTGGGTTGTTCCTCATGCTTTTGGAGCCCCTGACCCTCTGCTCACGATCATTAAGGACCTTCATGATGGTGAGCGGGCCCGGGTAAAACTACGTGGCCGGGAGTCAGAGCCATGCCCTGTACACCTTGGGGTGCGACAGGGATGTCCTCTGGCTCCCACATTATTTAACATCTATTTTGACCACGTAGTTCGTGAAGCCTTCAATAGCTGTACCGGGGGAATCTCCATTTGGTACAGATATAATGGGAGGCTGATCGATGCCCGGGTGCGGTCAAGGGATTGGCTCCCTATTGCTCAACCACGTTATATATGCCGATGATTTGGTAATAGCTGCTCATTCAGAGGAGGAGTTGGAGATGCTGCTGCTGAGACTGGAGCGTGCCACTAAGAGATGGGGCCTTACCATCAGCTCCACCAAAACTAAGCACCTGCCTGGGTATTTTGTACCATCGGACACTCCACCCTCACAACTCCCAATTGGTGATGTGGCAGTTGTGGAGAGAGTGGAGCGTTTCCCATACCTGGGCAGTGTGCATATGACCGGCTCCAGTTTAACATCAGAGGTCTCACTCCGAATCAGTCGAGCGGCAATATCTTTTCATCGGTTGTGTAACGCTGTATGGAAGCTACCTGGTCTGTCGCTCCGCACTAAGCTTCAAGTCTTCTCGACCACGGTCATTCCCTCCCTTCTCTACGCTTGCGAAACGTGGACCCCCTTAATGGAACAGCTTCGACCGGTTAGAAACATTTAGGCTGGCCTGCCTACGACCCATCCTGGGTTTAACCAGGCTGGATTGTGTGAGGAGCTCAAAAACCTTGAAATATCTGGGCAAGGTCCCATCGGTGAGCTCCTCCGGCAGTCAAGGCTGCGTTGGCTGGGTCATGTAGCCCGCATGCCCAGCCACTGCATGCTGAAACAGCTTTTGTTTGGCCGGATCGACGGGGCTAAATGGGCGCGGCACGGGCTAGAGAAAGATGGAGTGATGTGGTACAGGAGGACATGGAGCTGAGTGGACTTGCCGATGACTGGTACCAGCGGTGTCAAGATCAGCCTCTGTGGAGGAGGCTCGTGAAGCATGCTACTGGGCAGTTGGAGGCAGTCGCCCTCCAACAACAGAGGGCGGAGGAGCGACGCTCACAACAACGAGCGGAGCGCCGGGTGGCTAAAGCACAGCAGGTTGGCACAGTAGGGGGCACAGGTGGTGCATCAGCCAGTCATCTCGGTCATCTCAGTCAGTCGACCCGTGGAACCTGGATCTGCCCCGTGACCTCCTGCCAGGTGCACATGGCCTGGCACAAGCATCGTGGTGACGTCACTGCCACTTAGTGGCGAATGGCGGTTGTTGTTGTTGTGTGTGTTTGTAACTTGAGTGTGAGTGTGTAACTTGAGTGTGTGTGTGTGTGTGTATGTAACTTGAGTGTGTGTGTGTGAACTGTGTGTGTGCAACCTGTGTGTGTGAACTGTGTGTGTGTAACTTGAGTGTGTGTGTGTGTGTAATCTGTGTGTGTATATAACTTGAGTGTGTGTGTGTAACTTGAGTGTGTGTTACCTGTGTGTGTGTAACTTGAGTGTGTGTGTGACCTGTGTGTGTGTGTAACTTGTGTGTGTGTAACTTGAGTGTGTGTGTGTAACCTGTGTGTGTGTAACCTAAGGTGAGTGTGTAACTTGAGTATGTGTGTAACTTGAGTGTGTGTGTGTGTGAACTGTGTGTGTAACCTGTGTGTGTGAACTGTGTGTGTGTGTAACTTGAGTGTGTGTGTGTGTAACCTGTGTGTGTGTATATAACTTGAGTGTGTGTAACTTGAGTGTGTGTGTGTGTAACCTGTGTGTGTGTGTAACTTGTGTGTAACTTGAGTGTGTGTGTGTGTAACCTGTGTGTGTGTAACTTGAGCGTGTGTGTAACTTGAGTGTGTGTGTGTAACCTGTGTGTGTGTAACGTGTGTGTGTGTGTAACCTGTGTGTGTGTGTAACTTGTGTGTGTGTAACTTGAGTGTGTGTGTGTGTAACCTGTGTGTGCCACAACTGCTCCTTTTCCAATGCCATGCGCGAGTAGGTGCTGCGCATCACGGCGATCAGGAGGTTGATCATGAGGACGAACGCGAACAGCATGTAGAAGGTGTAAACCACTTTGATGAAATCGGAGAAGTTCAGGCGGACGTTAAACCAGTGGCTGACGAGGCCGAGGAAGAGCTGGTACATGGTGAACCACGCGGTGTAGAAGTCGCGCCACTGGTTCCAGTTGTCGGGCATGAGGATCTGGAAGGTCAAGTGGAACGCTGTGGGAAGGGACGAGGGGGGGGGGGGTTGGGCACGGATTCTCAGTGGGGGTGTCCACCTCGACACGCTTCTACAGCGTCAACGCTCTCCCAGGGTTGACAGCGCTGAGTGCGTGGCTCACATCGAGCGCGCAGGCGATGCAACTGGGTTGGGTCTCCCCACATGACAGAGGACCCAGGCGCCGTGCAATGAAGAGGGCAGGGGGGTGGAGATGGTGTGGGGGGTGGTGGTGTGGGGGGAGGTGGTGGTGGTGTGGGGGGTGGTGGTGTGGGGGGAGGTGGTGGTGGTGTGGGGGGGAGAGTAAAATTGGACAAGGGGGTGTCGTTTTATTCCTGGCGCTAGGATCCATGCCAACGTTGTGTTGACACAAGTGCAACAAACAGAATCAGAATCTGTATTTGCACTGCAGTGGGAATCCGATGAGCTATGAAGCTCTTTTTCACAGATAGGGGCACGGGGTAAGAACGTTACAACAACAAACATGACAGGAAACACGACAGGAGGGCAAAGTCCAAGGAAAGTAAACAAGCCAACGTGTTTGCAACTCAAGCAAACAGATGCGAAAGAACATTATGAGACCTCCTTTGCCAGTAACAAGATATAGTAATAGGTTTTACCCTTTTAACTGGCACAAAAAACTGACACCTTTATTCAAGGCATCATGTTTGCAATAACCACAACACAAGCAGTCAAAATGCAAACAAAAGAGACAACTCTGATAATAATATGCACTGTCCTTGAATTTGATTGGTCCACACCCGAGACGGCTTTTCTTAGAGCCTAGTCTCCAATGGTGTTGGACCAGAAGACGCCAAAAGGCGTACAACTCAAAAACAGCGAACTATCAGAGTATTGAGGGCTCGGGGTGAGCATTTACATTATGATACCTCCTTTGCCAGTAACAAGATATAGTAATAGGTTTTACATGATGCCTTGAATAAAGGTGTCAGTTTTTGTGCCAGTTAATAGGGTAAAACCTATTACTACATGCGAAAGAAGTTCAACGTATTATAGGGTGCATACATACACATGCACGGGTACGTGCGTACACAGACAGAGGTGGGGGGGGTAGCCGGAATAACGAAGGGCGTTGTACCGCAGGTGAAGCCCATGAGCACCATGAACATGAGCCAGCACACCCGGAACACGTCCAGGAACAGAACCTGCGGAGACAAAAGCGGAGACGGCGGCGGGAACAGCAGCGGCGGCGGAGGGCAGCACGGCGCGAATCGCGTCACACCCACTAGCGTCACACCGACTCGCGTCGCAGCCACTCGCGTCGCAGTCACTCGCGTCACAGCGACTCGCGTCACAGCCACTCGCGTCACAGCCACTCGCGTCACAGCCACTCGCGTCACAGCCACTCACGTCACACCGACTCGCGTCGCAGCCACTCGCGTCGCAGTCACTCGCGTCACAGCGACTCGCGTCACACCGACTCGCGTCGCAGCCACTCGCGTCGCAGTCACTCGCGTCACAGCGACTCGCGTCACAGCCACTCGCGTCACAGCCACTCACGTCACACCGACTCGCGTCGCAGCCACTCGCGTCGCAGTCACTCGCGTCACAGCGACTCGCGTCACACCGACTCGCGTCGCAGCCACTCGCGTCGCAGTCACTCGCGTCACAGCGACTCGCGTCACAGCGACTCGCGTCACAGCCACTCGCGTCACAGCCACTCACGTCACAGCGACTCGCGTCACAACGAATCGCGTCACAGCGACTCACGTCAAAGCCACTCGCGTCACAGCCACTCGCGTCACAGAGACTCGCGTCACAGCCACTCGCGTCACAGCCACTCGCGTCACAGCCACTCGCGTCATAGCACGTCGTGCCCCCGGGAGACTCCATGGCTTTGCGTCGCACCTTCTGTATGGTGACCATGAAGGGTCCCAGCATCTCGACGCCATGAGCGAAGAACAGCGTGTAGCACCAGCCGAGCACGAGCGCCAGCGACATGGGCACGGACTCCCCCTGGACGCCCGAGAGCCTCATGACGAAGAGCAGTCCCACGAGGCACGCGTAGCACACCCTGGGGGGTCCACGCGGCACCACCGTCGTCACGGAGCAGCGGTGGCGGCGGTACAACACCGCGACGCACAGCTTTGTGGGTGCACGTCCGATTAGCACGGTTCGCTACGTACGGGCATGCGAAGCACACCCTGGGGCCGCGCGCGAACACAGCCTCCGTGTCACTGAAACTAAACTGAAAACTCCTTCATTTTATTTTGCCAGATAAGGCCCACTGAGCTTCATAGCTTTTTTTTAAACAAGCGACCTAGCTCTCACAAATGATAGCTAGGTCGCTTATTTATCATCATGTGGAAATGTATAGCAACCGAAAACTCTGAACGCGTGATGTTGATTACTGAATGTGGAGGGGAAAAACCGGAGGACCCGGAGAAAAAAATCCACGCGGCCACGGGGAGAGAGAGACACGCAAACTCCAAATATACAGCAGCAGGCGTCATGGTCGGGATCGAGCTCATGACCAGCTGTGAACCAGGCAAAGGGAGCTAACATCTCGCCACCATGGCTACCCGCGGTGATGAGATGTTGACATTGAACCACTGCGAGCCCTTTGATATCGTCTCACAGAACAGAACGCAGCTTCAGGTTTCCGCTATGGCGCGTTTGGGTCCACAAATGGCAGCAGGGCCCACGGGCCGTAGCCACCCAGACGCTGGGCTATGGAGAGGCGGGAGAATTTGGAAAGGGGGACCCTGTTCCAATCCTTGCACCACCTTAGCCCCCGTAGCCCTGAAATTTGAATTTAATTAATGGGGACCAAGCACTGCAGGACCGGTCCTCAAGTGACATTAAATATATCTCATACGGCTGCACTGTGCAGGTGTAAAGATTCCACATTTCTGGGAGGCTCAACTGGGACACATAGTGAGCTATCTGTTAACTCCACCCACTTGTAATAACCACGAAGACAAAGAGCCCCCGTATAGCCTTCATCAGACTGTTGGGGCAAGTGCTGTTATCGAGCACCTATGAAGGAACGACACGGCGCACGAGGGGGTGGGTGGCCAGCACCAACGCCTTTGTTTTCTCTAGCGGTCAATAATCGTCACCGATGTTGGCCGTGAGCGGGAATCGAACTCGGGCCGCCGGGTTCGTAGCGCAGCGTAGCGCTAACCGCTACACCACCACTCCCCACGCCCACTCATCCACGAGGCCCTGCCCACACTGACGATGGACTCATCCGCTGGCCATAGCGTGATATCAGAAGATTTTAAACCGGGGACTTGATCCCAATTTTTACAAATAATTCAGGGATAACCGGGACATCCATTCTATGAAAATGAGCACTTGCTGAAGCCAATCCAGGACATTTAGTAGTTGCTCGGTGATCTGTGGGCAGTGTGGTTGCGATGGTTATGGAAGCATTTGGGGTTGAGTGTTGTGCGTCTTTACAGGATCATGTGGAAATGCCCGCCAGTCACGATGTTTCCAAAATATCGCGAGGCCCCGACACGAATGACATCCAGCATCTGTGGGGGAAGAGAGCGAAAGAGAAATGCAAATCATATTTTCGTTCCCTTTCAATTATTTATTTGCTGTAATTAATGTCACGCTGTCCATTTTTTTAAATTACTGGCATGCAGTGCCGGATTAAGCTAGTGCGGGGCCTGTAGCATATGTTAAAAAGGGTCCGTAAATAAAAAATTACATAAATATTAAACCACAAATTTGTACTTGCATAGTAAAGTAATTGTATTTTTTCATTTTCTACACAGCCAGATAATACAACAAATCGCTAACCTTAAACACCCAGTCGTTCATTAAAGTTGAAGGCAGTATAGTACTATAGTAATAGAGCAGAATCACTGAACGGAATTTATAGCTTGAAATAATTCAGCGCGGGGCCTTTGAAACTGCGGTGCCTATAGCACCGCACTTTTGCTACTAGGATAGCTACTTGTGCTACTAGGATAATCTGGCACTGCCCGTATGCATACCGCAGGTGTTCTTCATTGCGAGGGCCGTGGGCCACTGACGGCCCCTGGGTGGCCTTTAGTGCGTCTCCCCGCCCCCCACAATCCACAAATAGGGACAACACCCCACCCATCCTCATCATCGTGCTGTGAAACCCCCCAATGGTTTCAAATGTGTGGTGGCGGCCCTCGCACTGGTGATGTCTTATTGGCTAAAGTGCCCCCCCCCCTCCGCCCCCTCTGAACATGGGTGAATGAAACTGGCACACCGGAACAAACCGCCCCACTCTAATAATTATTTTTGGGAAAACACAAAACAAACATCCCCCGTGTCGTCCTAACAGATTGTTGGGACAAGTGCTGTTAGCGAGCAGCACTTATGAAAATCCGGCGGGCACAGCCTTCATTTAACACGGACCGTTGGCATAACATCGCCATGCGTAGTGAGCCTCTGCCGCCTTGTAAACACGAAATCCCTGAACGCCCGCACCCACACTGAATCCGCAACAATAACGGCCGCTGGTCACTACCAGGTGGCGTTGACGCCACCACGACGTTTGTGCCAGGCTAGGTGCACGTTAAGGCCACGATTTTTCATAATCATTATTTTTTTTAACTGTATAGAATAGTTTTATTTTTATGTTTAAGTAAGTGACAGCGCTTTGGGCCGGCAGATTTATTCCAGAAAGGCGCCACATGTTAGCCAAAAGTAAACTGACTTGTTCTATCACACACACGCACACAAGCACGCCTTGTGTTGTATCACACACACGCACACAAGCACGCCTTGTGTGTGTGTGTGTGATACACGTTGTATCCCTTGTGTGTGTGATACACGTTGTATTACACACACAAGCACTCCTTGTGTGTGTGTGTGATACACGTTGTATCACACACGCACACACAAGCACGCCTTGTGTGTGTGTGTGATGCACGTTGTATCACACGCACACACACACACAAGCACGCCTTGTGTGTGTGTGATACACGTTGTATCCCTTGTGTGTGTGATACACATTGTATCACACGCACGCCTTCTCGCTCCCCCACTACTTTCTGACCCCGCGCCCCTTCCTGGACATCTGTGAAATATGGAGCCCTGTAGCTCATCGCATTTCTCCTCCAGTCTAAATATTATGTGTGGGCCTCTCACCTCCAGCACGAGGATGAGAATAGCCCCGAGGATGCTGACGATCTCGCCCCCGAGTCGCACAAAGTCCTGCTGAGTCTGGTAGCTCTCCTGCACGGCCACGCCAAACAGCTTCCCGTCAGTTTTGCAGAGCATTGAGGCAACTTCTTCGGTGCCGTATCGAGACGTGGTGGTGCCCAGGGGAGAGAGTTTGCCCTTGCCACGACACTGGCACACTTCATTCACATGGCCCTTTCACAGAACAATACCCAGTAAACATGGAAGAAAGTTGGTTTGACGTTGGGCCAACGTTGGCACGTGGGGCTCTGGGTCAAAATAACCGCGTGAGCCTTCGTGATCGATATTACAATTCGTTCTTTTTAACTGCTTCAACGCACCGGCTGTGGGCTGAAGCGGTAACAAACTGACCACGTTTATTCACGTGGCAGCTTTATTAGTTAGCTGCGTCGGGTGTTGGAGGCTTTGCGACACACATTTGAACTTGGGCGGCAATCTTGACGCAAATGAAATACATTGTTTAAAATCACGTTTGCTGGTGAGTGGAACCTTTTCAAGACAGAGAGAGAGAGGCTGTCGCGACAAGTGATGTTAGCGAGCGCCTATTAATGTCGGGCATGGCACAAGAGGAGGGCGGTGTGGCCAGAACCATGCCCGGCCGCCTTTGTCTCCCCGGTGCTGATGTTTTTTGTTGTTGTTCTAAACGCAGCGCCCCAGGTGCTGAGTTGGCCCCGGGGAGGCCCAGGACCGGTTCAAATATTCGCCACTGATGTGAGTCGTGAGTTTGGGTGGCAGTTGTTACTTGTGTTCAAAGGGGAGTCCATTGAGTGCAGTCGTGTTGATGCGGTGGCAATCATTGTGGGATCGAATTTCAAACCCGTCAACCCATTACGTTTCAACCCCGTATTCTTTTATAGGGGAATTGCGTTTCCAAGTACATACGGCGTACAGCCGTTTCATTACGGGCCTTGTAGGATGAACGTTGAGATGTATAAGGGGCACGGGGGTGGTGACCAATAAGGTCTAAAGGTAGGGCACTGATAAGGGGTTGACAGCGATGGAATTTAATCACCGGAGGGTGAGGTTATTCCAGTGTTCTTCACTGACTTTCAGAAGAGGGCGGCGGCGGGGGGGGGGAGGGTGAGGGCACTTGCGCCAATAAGACATCATCAGTGTGAGGGTCACACACATTATTTGAAACCATTGGCGGTTTGGCAGCAGCACGATGCTGATGATGGGCGTTGTTTTCACATTTTGTGGGGGGCCGGACCATCAGGGGCCGCCAGTGGCCATGAAAGCCTCGCAATGAGTAAGAGCCACCGGGCTATTTGGGACGTTCTGAAGATTTGAACGCGCAACCGCCCACACATTTGTGTGCGACACACGCCGGCCGGCGTAGCGCATGCTGGCGCCAGCCAGCAAAACTTTTTCCTGTTGTTCGTTATTTTCTCTTAGTGGTCGTACGCAGCTACTCGCAATGTGGAGTGGTGTGATATTTTGTAAAGTTGTAGATTGTTATAGTTGGTGGGTGGTTGTTAAAATGTTGCCCTGCATTGAAAGGTTTGGAAGGTACACGTGCATATTGAATGAGACTGACTTTACCTTCGTAAAAAAAACTTACGTTTTGCATTTAATAACGCTTTCATATGCAATTTAATTGAATAATAGTCGTTATTGTTTTACATTGTAATGACGCGTTGTCAAGTAATTGCATGAGCAGATTTGTTCGAGTAAAGTTTACCTCAGCATTGTTTATGCGTTCGCTTGAGTTGAATCCAAGTTTAGTTTGGCGATATTTAGGTGATTTTACAAATTAACTTCATACGTTTTCATTTACCGAGTGAGAATAATGTATCACAAGTTAAACGATGTTTTTTCCCTCAGGATTAATATACACAGTGGCAAAGGTAAGGCTTTATCGGCCTTACAATTAATGAATTACAAATTGCTAAATAAATACGTTACGGTCATGGTTTACTGTGTTTGTTACAAAGTTTGTACAGGATTAATCAATTAAATGTCTGAGGAGGTGCCAGGCGTGCGCCTAATCAACGTCTATAAAATTAAACTTGTATAAGTTTAAATGTTTTACATTGTCTAACGGTGAATTAATTGCGAACTTAATTGTGAAAAGCGTCACTTTTTTCGAGGACTTTTGGCTGCTATGTAAAATGAAAAAAGATAGTGTAGTGCTTTGCGGTGAGACCGCATTAATGTTTGCAATATTGTAAGCATTACATTGAATAAGTTATAATGCAATTCGAAATAATTACGTTATTACAATGCGTTGCATGTATTAAAGCTTATGTTGAAAAACAAGCGTCAGGTTATTTTTTGTGTGTAGCTTATGTTGAAAAACAAGCGTCAGGTTATTTTTTGTGTCAAATTTTGCTCAGCGTTGTTGACATTAAAATTGTTTAATGATGAGTAGGTTAATGGTGGTATTAGATTGTCATGTGCACAGCTATGAGTCGTGTACGTAGGGTGTAGTTTTCATGGGTGTAGTAGGTAGTGTTGGTTATCACCAATATCAATAGCCGCCATTCGTAACCAAGTGACGGTGTCGTCACCACGGCGCCTGTGCCAGGCTAGGTGCACTTTGAGGCCACGTGAAGTGTCGAAGGCTCGCTGGCAGGGGGGTCACGGGACAGACCCAGCAGGTGCCATGGGTTCACTGACTGAGACGACTGGCAGATGCACCAGCTGTAACCCCCCACCCCTACTGTGCCAACTCGCTGTATTTTAGCCACCCGGCGCTCCGCTCGTTGTTGTGAGCGTCGCTCCTACGCCCTCCGTTGTTGTTGGAGGGCGACTGCCTCCGACTGCCCAGTAGCGGCGTCCTTCATGAGCCTCCTCCATAGAGGCCGATATTGACACTACAGGTGCCAGTAGTCGGCAAGTCCACTCAGGTTATCAGTGCAGTGTACACAGGGTGTCGTTGAAATGAGTGTAGTATTAGGTTGAAGATTATGAAGATTGTGCATGATGTATACCGAGTTGTTTTTATATATAGGAATGTGGTGTTGACAGAATGTAGTTTTTGAGGGGTCGATGTGCTATTAAACAAGGGCCATTTCCCCAAAACATCGCCTGGTATATACTTGATTAAGGCCACGGTGTTTTGTTATTTGTCCTTGTGTACCACTGCCAGTTAAGTACATTTAAACTTACATTTTTGTTTAACATTTTACCAGGTAAGGTCCACTGAGCTGTATAGCTCTTCAGAAGCGAACTGGTCACAAATGATAGCTCAACGAGGTGGCCTTATCGTGTGGAAATTTAAAGCAGCCAAATACTCGAAACGCGTTTCTGTTGATTCTAAATGTGGTGAGAAAAATCCACGCGACCACAGGGAGAGAGACACGCAGGCTCCAAATATACAGCAGCAGCAGGCGTCGGGGTCGGGGTCGGGATCGAACCCACGACCTCCTGCAGACCAGGCGAGGAAGTGAATGTCTAGCCACTGTGCAGTGTTGATAGGTAGCAACATGTGCGTGGGCATGAGGTGTCGCGAGTTAGGTTTAACGTGTTGGCAGCGAGTCTTGAGAAGGTGGCACGCACGGACAGGGGTTTCTGGACGAGGATGACGTCGTCGCGTGGGTCCGTGGCGTTGTCCGTGCGCATCATTAGGGGCCGGTAGATGCAGGCGAGCGAGAAGCTGGTGATGTAGACCATGTAGAGCATGGTCCACATGCGGAAATAGCGCCGCCCGTACCGCTTCCACTTGATGTTGATCAGCTCCTTCACGGGGGTCACCTCCAGGATCTGGCGAGCCTGAGGGGTGGCAAAGCATTTCGGCCCCGTCGTCAGCAAGTTGCCGGCGTTGTTGGACGTCTAGCCCAGCGCCGGCTCAGAAGCTCTATTTAGACTGGAAGAATCCCATGAGCTGTGAAGCTCGTTTTGTCCAGTAGGGGCGGGTCAGAGAGTTTCAGCAAGAAACGATACAAAAACCGATAGAACTGCAAAGTATGGGGAAGCCAAGCAAGTCACTCAAAAATAATAAATGTAAATAAAGTATAAAAGTACAAATTTCACAAACACATCACGTGAGCACGTGGCGGTCGGTGCCCCTCTGAGAAAGAAGCACAGTGGTGGTGCAAGGTGGTGGTGGCGGTGGTGGTGGCGGTGGTGGTGCAAGGTGGTGGTGGTGATGCAAGGTGGTGGTGGCGGTGGTGGTGCAAGGTGGTGGTGCAAGGTGGTGGTGGTGCAAGGTGGTGGTGGTGCAAGGTGGTGGTGGTGCAAGGTGGTGGTGGTGCAAGGTGGCGGTGGTGCAAGGTGGTGGTGGTGGTGCACGGTGGTGGTGGCGCAAGGCGGCGCGCTCCGTCAGACCTCGCGCTTGTGGCTCGTGGTGATGATCTCCAGCACCGAGCGATCGTCCTCCCATGAGTCGATCTCGTTGAGGTCATACAGGGTGGACGTCACGGTGCCCACCGACCACTGCACCACTCTGCGACGCTTCACCAGGTGCCGGAACATCTGCGGTGACAAGGAACATTCATCATACGTTGACCCCTACCTAACGCTCGTAGGCCACGCGCCTACTACGCAGTACAGCAGGGGTGGCCAACCTGTAACAGACCAACAGGCAAAAAGTACTTGTAAGTTCTGCAAACAGCCAAGGTTTTTTTAATATACGTTTTTATATATTTACAGTTTTCGACAAAGCACGGGAGACATTCATTTGCCTTTGTTACTGTGATAGTACGTTCTACGTCATGCCCCTTCGATAGGGCCGCATGTGGTGGATTAAAGCGCCGCATGCGGCTCGCGAGGCGAAAGTTGGCCATCGCTGCAGTACACTAAAATGTGGACTGACACAATCTATCCGATCTGTAGGGGATTAAGTGTTGCCCCCTCACATGTGTAGAGTTTTTTCCGGTTGTTCTGGTTTCCTCCCACATGTGCAAACACTAATTGGTTGAAAACATGTTCATATAGAGAGAGCTGCAGAGCCTGGTATGTAGGAGTTCGTGGGTTCGATCCCGACTCTGACACCTGCTGTATATTTGGAGTTTGCGTGGGTTTTTCTCCACGTCCTCCGGTTTTTCCCTCCACATTTAGAAACATCCATTTAGAGTATTTGGCTGCTGTACATTTCTACATGATAAGCCACTTCTTTGAGATGTCACTTGTGGCCAGGTGGCTTCTGAAAAAAGAGTTACACAGCTCAGTGGGCCTTACCTAGTAAAATAAAATGAAACTTGTTTAGTTTATAGCCTTACAGCTTATCCGCGGTTTCTCAACAATTGTAAGATGCAACTTGCATGAACAATGTTGGACGCAATTAATCATTAGATTAGATCATATCCATTCGTGACTCTGTGTCTGAAAAACATTGTACGTACTGTACTGGCTTCCATTCTGCATAGGCACACAATATCGTGCATTTAATACCTTATCTTCATCTTGTTCTCCCTACTGGTTTGGTGGGTTGTTCAGTGATGCTGTAGTCACAGGCACTGTGACTAGGTGGTTATCTGTATATTTATTGTATATCGGCCACTCCCTCCCCCACATTACTCTGGCTATCCGAGTTGCAATGCCCTATCTTTATGGAGTAAAGCCTCATTGAGTCTCAAGAGGGTTCTGCATTGGGACGTTTTAAAAATTGCTTTAAACCAGCCTCAAGATCTTCGTACTATTCTTTGCCTGTGACTGACCATTCTAATACTATAAACTGTTTTTATTTTTTTATTTTACCAGGTAAGGCCCCACTGATAGCCACCTGGCTATCACAAATGATAGCTCAACGAAGTGGCTTATCATCATGTGGAAATGTATAGCAGTCAAATACTCCAACTGCATGTTTCTAAATGTGGAGGGAAAAGCGGAGGACCCACAGACAAATCCACGCGACCACGGGGAGAACATGCACACTCCAAATATACAGGCGTCAGGGTCGGGATCGAATCTACGACTTCCTGTATACCAGGTGAGGAAATTAACATCTCACCACCGTGGCACCCCTGCAACTATGCCTTTAAAAAAATATATATATAGACCTCAATTTCTCAGTTTGTGCCCATGAAGCACACGTCTTGCTGTTGTATATAGTATCACCACATATGGTTGTATTGAGACATTCTGTTGGGATGCAAGCAGAAAGCAAATTGTTGTGAAACTACGAAAGACGTGATAAGGAGGAGAGAGAGGTACAAATAGATGCAGACGCTTAACCGGGGTGGCCCTAGACGGGCTGCCAGCACTTGGCGCCCTTGGTGAACCACGCAATTGACATAAATAAGCATACAAATAGACACGAATGTATATCCTCCTGTAAAAAGTTATTGTATTTACTGTGTCGTACTTACCACTCAAATGTAGAAGACTCTGCATGGGGTGATGTACGTAGTACCAACTACACTCTCGTTTTAACAACTTGTGTAACTGAAAGGCAGCTCTGTTCTTCACCTGAGGACGGCTGCTTGTGTTGTGGCCGAAACGTCGTGATAATTTTATTATGGAATTTTTTATTATTTTATTATTTCCCTTCTACGTGACTTTACCGAAAGAACCAATAATATAGCTATGGCAATATGAATTATGGCATTGGCTTGAAGAAAGCCTGCATCCAGCGGTATTTTTTTTTATCACGGCTGGCCATGATGATGCAAGGGGTGCGTTTTTGCGAAGGATGGTTTCAGGGTGACTGCGGGAGGATGAGGCTCTCACCACCACGTTGCCCTTGGCTGCAGCGAGCTTGAGGGGGGTGTAGCCTTTACGGTTGAGCACAGACTCCGGGCAAGGCTGGCCCTTGCCCCTCTGCGTGCTCGCCAGGATGAAGTCGTACATCTGGCAGGCGATGATGCGGTTCTTATGCAGCACCAGGGTATGGAGGACCGTATTGCCTGCATTGTGGGAGCACACAATGGGCGCATGGTGGTGGCGCATCAGCCGGTCCTCTCAGTCAGTCAACCCGTGGCACCTGGGTCTGTCCTTTGACCTCCTGCCAGCGGGCGTTCGACACTTCACGTGGCCTTAAAGTGCACTTAGCCTGGTACAAGCGCCGTGGCGAATGGAGGTTGTTGTTGGTGGCCGCGGCGGCGAGAAAACGAGACGCTTCTCGCCTCGCACGTGGAGGTGTGGAACACGGTGCCTGCGTGTTTGACCAAGTGTTGGGCTAAAGCTCCCGAATGTTCTGGTTTCGACTGGGACAGGCCAGCTATCAGAGGCTCTCCCCGGTATCACGAAACATTTGCAAAATAAAAGTCTGGAATTTTGTCCCGGTATGATATTTTCTGCCCTCACGCTTGACTTATCAGAATATTAATTTACTCGGGGTTGTTCGGGGGCACCTGTGGCGCCCCTCACAACCATTTATGGCCATCGGCCAGGAAAGTCATCAAAAAAATTACACGCTAACGACACATTCGTGCAAGCACCAGATGCTCCGTTTTGAAGTTTCAAAATGAAACATCTTTGAATTGTATTATGTTTTGATTTAGATAATTTTATTTCTTCATTAAAAGCTTATATCATTTTACATCTGGAAGACTCAATTGAAAAGGACATTTCGTGTGAATTTTCTCTCGTCGTTAAGTAGATGGCCTTGCTTCGGTTCGATGCGGACTTTCACCTGTTTGGGATTGCGGGATCGAGATTAGGTGACATAGAGCTGCTGGCCTTGCGAGAAGACCGCCGTCTGCAGATCGATTCCAACGTGATCGAACGTCTGTCCCTGCGCCTCCGTCGTTCATGCAGGGGGCGCGTAGATTTGCAGCGCCCCCTGCATGAAAACGACGGAAAATGCAGCGTTCATCACAGATAGATAAAGTAGTGCGCTTATATAAGAGTATACTGGAGGAATCCGATGAGCTATAAAAACTCTTTTTCACAGATGTCCAGTAGGGGTGGGTCAGAACGTTACAACAACAAACAGTACAACAACACGACAGGAGTGCAAAGTACAAGAAGGGTAAACACATCACCCAAACACAAACAAACACAACAACACACCATCCCCATCCTACTACGCAGAGCCCACCGAGGTGTTAGCTTATTTTTTACAAACGATCGCTCAACAAAGTGGCCCATGATTTGGAAACTTATAGCACCAAAATCTAGCAAAGGGCGGGACTACCTGGTAAGTGGACAGCATTGGAAGTGGAGTAGGTGGGTGGCCTATGAGCGAGACCATTCGTGTTGATTTTTTCCACGTCCTCCGGTTTTTCCCACCACATTTAGAAACATGCTTTTAGACCCTTTTAAACATTATTTTGCTGCTATAAATGTCCAAATGATAAGGCACTTTGATGAGCGATCATTTGTGGCAAGGTCACTTTAAAAAATAATAAGTTAATTCCTCAGTGGGCTTTGCCTGGTAGGATGGGGATGGTTTCGTTTTATTTGTAAGTGTTTGGGTGATTTCTAGATTTGAAGTTTTCGTGACTGCAAGGATCCATACTCTTTGGTTCTTTCGGTAAAGTCACGTAGGTAAAAAAAAAATAGAAATAAAATTCTCACGACGTTTCGATTGCAACACAAGCAATCATCATCAGGTGTGACAACCACAGAAATATATTTTTTACTGAAGTGGGAGAGATGCCGGAGTTAAAAGGGTTTATATAAGTCATATTTTTTCACCTACGTGACTTTACCGAAAGAACCAAAGAGTATGGATCCTTGCAGTCACGAAAAGTTATAATCTAGAAATCACCCAAACACTTACGAATAAAACGAAACCATCCCCATCCTACCAGGCAAAGCCCGCTGAGGTATTCACTTATTTTTTTAGAGTGACCTGGCCACAAATGCTCGCTCAACAAAGTGTCTTATCATTTGGACATTTATAGCAGCAAAATAATGTAAAAAACGGTCTAAACGCATCTTTCTAAATGTGGTGGGAAAAACCGGAGGACGTGGAAAAAAAATCAACACGAATGGTCTCGCTCACAGGCCACCCACCTACTCCACTTCCAATGCTGTCCACTTACCAGGTAGGCCCGCCCTTTGCTAGATTTTGGTGATATAAATGTCCAAATCATGGGGCCACTTTGTTGTGCGATCATTTGTGGCCAGGTCACTTCTGAAAAATAAGCTAACACCTCAGTGGGCTATGCGTGGTAGGATGGGGATGGTTTGTTGTTGTGTTTGTTTGTGTTTGTGTGATGTGTTTACCTTTCTTGTTCTTTGCACTCCTATTGTGTTTGTTGCCATCACGTTTTTACCCCATGCCCGACCAGACATCTTTGAAAAAGAGCTTTATAGCTCATCGCATTCCTCCTGCAGTACAAATACAGATTGTAGTTCTGTAAAAGTGGGCAGGGCTGATGGGGTAGAGGCTCGCCAGCACGCCATGTTTTCTTGATGAACATCCAAGGATTCTGGCCACTCAACGTTTTGAACGTCGCATTTTTAAGAAGGGGTTGGGGTCTAAGTGTCGAGTGCGGTCGGGGGACAAGGGCACTTCCAGGAGGTTGCAGCTTCTTACCTTGGGAGTCCTGCGCACATATCCTGGCCCCGTGCTTCAGGAGCAGTCGCACCATCTCGAGGTTCCCCGTGCTCGCGGCGAATGACAGCACGTACTCGCCTGGGGGGCACATAGCACACGCAGCGCATGCCGTGCAGTGACCACTCGTTATACAGAGTTCTAGAGGTAGGAATTTTGCAGGGACGGAGGATCCACGAACCGTGTGAATTTCCTGCCGACGGACAGCTAAAAACCACTGAAATTCCTCGCCACGGTCAACTCTGGTGCCACGGTGAATGCAGTTATCCGTTGTTGTACCGCGGCGGTATGTGCAATGCCGTCGTGGCATCGCGGCGAGCTTCGGTGCGCTGTGGGCGTACCGTAGTGAGCGTGGCTGCGGTGTTTGTCGGTGAAGTAGGTGCCGGTGGCACGCGGCGACACTGCATTTGCCCCACGCGCCAGGAGCTGTTTCGCCAGCTCCACGTTCTGGTTGAGCACGGAGGTGTGCAGCGCCGTCTGACCTGCGGGGACACACGGGGCCGTACGCGCATCGATGCGGAAGCAGACCTTTTCACTCGTCGGTACCACCTGACGTTGAAAGCCATCGGTGGTTCGTGGTTTTGGGAGGGGGGAGGGGGAATCTTTTGTAATAAACAGTGGGAAAGTGACACCGTTTTTTTTATAAATAGTCCACAGTTTATCGTTAAGCTTTACAAAACCCTTTCGCTTGCACGCAGGCTTGTGGATAACGAAGCCTTATTTGAAAACAACATCCTTACATAGAGAGAACAATTCGTTTTCATGAAGAGCTTACGAAACATTAAACTTACGCGAATGCAGCGTACTGTACCTATGGTACAAACAAATTGTGATTTTTTTTTAAATTATATATTGTAACATTTATCATGGGACCTTTTTGCCAGCATCAAAGCATGAAACATATGAATAGGGTTTACCCTTTCTGGCAATAAAACAGGTGTTAAAATGTTTCAGCAAAAAGGTATCCCATGCTATAGCTGCTCACCCCGAGCTATCAATCCTCCGATACGTGCATTGTCTTTGTGCTGTTCGCCTGTTGGCATTCTCTGGTCTAACACTGGTGGTGAGACTAAGCCACAAAGAAGACTGTCTCTGGTGTAGGCCAACCAGTTTCAAAGACAATGCATCATACATTATCAGAGTTTGTTTGCCCGTTCACCACAAGTATGCGTGGTTAATGCAGTACTTGATTCCTTGCATAAGGTATCAATTTGGTGTTTGAACATCTTAACACCTAAATTTTGATTTAAAGTTTTCGTGACTGCAGGGATTCATATTCTTGCTTGTGTTTCCCTTCTACGTGACTTTACCGAAAGAACCAAGAATATACTCTTTGGTTTTTTTTCGGTAAAGTCACGTAGGTAAAGTCAAATAAATGAAAACAACTAAATTAAATCACGACGTTTCAGAGGCAACACAAGCTTCCGTCTTCAGGTGGAACAGCCACAGCAAGAAGACGGAAGCTTGTGTTGCCTCCGAAACGTCGTGATTTAATTGAGTTGTTTTCATTTATTTTATTTTACCTACGTGACTTTACCGAAAAAAACAAAGAGTATGAAGCCTTGCAGTCATGAAAGCTTCAAATCTAGAACCAAGAATATCTTAACACCTGTTTTATTGTCAGAAAGGGTAACACCTATTCTTATTTTTCATATTGTAAAATTTCTATTTTCTTCTGTACAGCATATGGGCACCGTAGTGTAATCCCAACATCTGTATGGTGAAGGCTGGATAACAGATCCAAGTGGGATATTGTTTCTCAGAGTGAAGCATGGAGGGGATTTTTTGTTTCCTCGAGGTCGCTACAGGAGCCGTGAAGGTAGAAGCTCATGATTGTATGTACGTATGTTGAACTTCTTTCGCACCGTACGTGGTCAACCGTGCTAATCGGAGGTGCGGGAGGACAACAAACAAACCACAAAAAGCTGTAAAAATAATAAATTAGTGTTCATTCTAGCCGATTTAAACGTGCATAGATTCCAGTGGCTACCTAATATTGTAAGGAAGAGCATTCCAGACGGCTGCAGAAGCGCATCTGAAAGCGCGCGATGCATCGACCGTCTTTGTTCGATGGCCAGCCAAAAGCCGCTGCTGCTGCTGCGAGGATGCCCAGAGTTCGCGTTCTGATTTCCACGGTAGAGCGAGTAGTTCACCTTGCTGCTCTTTGGTCACCATGGTGGAGTGCGTGGTTACCCTGGTAGAGGTCGGAGGTCATGCGCTCGTTGATGAGCGTGGGCTCCGCGTCCAGGAGGGCGAGCGCCGCTCCCAGGTTCTCGCACTGCACGGCCACGTGGAGGGCCGTCTCTCCCAGCACCCCTACACCGTACCACACCGCACGTTTCACCACGCGTTACACCACACCGCAGCACACTGCGCCACACCACGCGTCACACCACGCGCATCACACCGCAGCACACTGCACCACACCACGCGTTACACCATGCGCACCACACCGCAACATGCGCTACACCACGCGCACCACACTGCGCGTTACACCACACCGCACGACACTGCGTGTTAAACGACACGCATTGCACCGCAGCACACCGCGCCGCGTGTTAGACCGCACGCGCCACACCATGCGTTACACCACATGCACCACATCGCACCACGCGTTACACCACGTGCACCACATCGCAGCACACCACACCACACGTGACACCACACTGCACCACACTGCACAACACCGCACGCACTACACCGCACCACGCGTTACACCACACGCACCACATCGCAGCACACCGCACCACACGTTACACCACACTGCACCACGCCACGGCCAACCGCACCACGCATTACAGCACACGCACTACACTGCACCACACCGCATCAGACATCACACCGCACCACACGTTACACCACACACACACACCACCCCACGGCAGACACCCCACGCGTTACACCCCGTGACGGGCACACGTGACGCGCTCGTCCCAATTCGGGGCACCACACACACAGGGCGGCGTGGCCTCCGCCGCCACCACATCGCGACGTCTGAGAACTCTCCCCGCTAGATTTCGCCCCCCAAGCCGTCACTGTTGTTCATCGGCCATGCCTGCTTGTGATAGCGATCGGCAGCGATGGCCCTCGTGGATCGTGGCCTTCAGAAGCAATTATGTTTTTTTGCCCACCGCCTTCCTTTCATTGTAAAAATGTCTTAACTGTAATTGAAATTTTTTTTAAATACAAATTTTCATTTTAAGTTGTTACCACAAACCAAAAAAAATAGCAACAACGCATGTTAAAAGTTCCATCTTGAACAGCATTTTGCCGGCAATGTAATCAGTTATAAAATACACTGCACCTTACGTCGTCTTTCCCTGTCTCTTGACGTTTCTCTGATAAGTCTTCATTAGTCCCTTTGTGTCTCTGGGTCTCTTTGTGTCTCTCCATGTCTGCTTTGTTACCTCTGCTGCCCGGTGTTGATGAATGTCTCATGCCTCTTCCATGTCCCTCCCACGCCTCTGTCTCTCTGTCTTCCCGTGTCCCTATTGCTCTCTGTGTCTCTCTGTCTTCACCGTGTCCCTATTGCTCTCTGTGTCTCTCTATCTCTCTGTCTTCACCGTGTCCCTATTGCTCTCTGTGTCTCTCTGTCTCTCTGTGTCTCTCTGTCTTCCCGTGTCCCTATTGCTCTCTGTGTCTCTCTGTCTTCACCGTGTCCCTATTGCTCTCCGTGTCTCTCTGTGTCTCTCTGTCTTCCCGTGTCCCTATTGCTCTCTGTGTCCCTCTGTCTCTCTGTCTTCACCGTGTCCCTATTGCTCTCTGTGTCTCTCTGTGTCTCTCTGTCTTCCCGTGTCCCTATTGCTCTCTGTGTCCCTCTGTCTCTCTGTCTTCACCGTGTCCCTATTGCTCTCTGTGTCTCTCTGTGTCTCTCTGTCTTCCCGTGTCCCTATTGCTCTCTGTGTCCCTCTGTCTCTCTGTCTTCACCGTGTCCCTATTGCTCTCTGTGTCTCTCTGTGTCTCTCTGTCTTCCCGTGTCCCTATTGCTCTCTGTGTCTCTCTGTCTTCACCGTGTCCCTATTGCTCTCTGTGTCTCTCTGTCTCTCTGTCTTCCCGTGTCCCTATTGCTCTCTCTGTCTCTCTCTGTCTCTCTGTGTCTCTGTCTTCACCGTGTCCCTATAGCTATCTGTGTCTCTCTGTCCCTCTGTCTTCACCGTGTCCATATTGCTCTCTGAGTCTCTCTGTCTTCCCGTGTCCATATTGCTCTCTGTGTCTCTCTGTCTTCATCGTGTCCCTATTGCTCTCTGTGTCTCTCTGTCTCTCTGTCTCTCTGTCTTCACCGTGTCCCTATTGCTATCTCTGTCTCTCTATCTTCCCGTGTCCCTATTGCTCTCTATGTCTCTCCTCGTGTGCCACTCACCGCGCTGCAGGAGGTCCGTGTCGCCCTGCTTGTGCAGCCTCTGGATGGCCTCCACGTCATTGTTCTTGGCGGCCGTGAACAGCGGGGTCTCCTGGATCCTGCGAGACGGAGCCGTAGGGAGCCACAGGATGGGCAGCGTGAGTGGGGGGGGGGTGAGACGGGAGGAACTTAATGATGCTCATGGAAATGTTCCACCAGCACAGATCGACGACGAGTATCGGAAAGGCCCTTTGACACGGCATGGGTCTGCACGGACAAGCGAGGGTGCGTCGACGAGTCCGAGCACCTGTGCTTGTCACCTGTCGACGCCTGCAACTCACCGGCACATCAATCGCCACTCGTATTGGAGCAGGTGACGAGGAGGAACTCCTTTCGACTACCAGACCAAATGGCGCAGCGGACGAGGTGCCGACGAGGACTGTTCGCCTCTTGGGAGCGCGACAGGCGGGCAGGACTCACCTCTTGTGCTGGAGCAGGTACAGTTCATCCTCGGCGTTCACCGCGTTCTGCTGCTGCAGGTTCAGTGCGCGGCTCAGGAGGCGACCCAGAAATCCACGCTCCAGCATCGCTGGGAAGGAGCTGCGCCCTGCCGCCCCCTTTCCTGCTTCTGGTCTTGCAAGTGGCCTCACGTCTCCTCGGGCGGACGTCTCAGGGGGCCCCAAAGACATCGAGGACTGCGCTGCGGCCGGTGAGCAACGATGACACGGAGGAGGAGCTTGAGGAGGAGGAGCTTGAGGAGGAGACAATGGGAGGAGGGAGGGGCGAACAGAGTTCGAGGCACGGCGAGGCACGGAGGCACCGTCCAGATTGTGCGCCGATTTACGATCGTGAAGATTTGGGTGATTATCTTGCAAAATGGGGTTGGGTTGAGGAGGTGGAAATGTGGCTGGACTCGTCAGGCGAGTGATTGCCGCCTCTCACTGGGATATATTAAAAACAAAAACCCCTACCTGTATTTTCACACGCGCACGCACGCAAACCGGTCTTGCCAGGGAGGTGACACGGGGCCACGGGGGCAGAGCGCGCACGAGGCCCGCGGGCACACGAGGGGCGATGCCGCTCAGGACGCAGCCGCTACCGCGTCTGCTGCCGCAACTAGAACGCGTTTGGTGGGGAGTTTCACGGGATCCGGTAAAAAAAACTAACAAAAAAATTTGAAGCGACATTGATTCGAATGTCATAATTTATCTTCCCCGTGTCGTGTCCGCTCAAGAGTGACAGCGGCGTTTCGTTGCTTTCGGCAAACTCCCACGGTTCGTGTCAATTCCATTCTCTTTCACGATGTCATTCTTGCTGCCTCCCGTGTTCGTGTTGGTTTTGTGGTTGTCATTGAGTTGCGAATCATCCGTGCAGAGTTGGATGTAAAGTTGCTCGTGTGTAACTCTCGGCCGAATTTCTGCAAAGTCAACTTTTAAACTCCTTGTCTTTGGTGCGATAGCGCAAGCGCGCTAATTGCTTCTGCGGAGTCACGTGGTCGTCATCATCATTGGGACAATAAATTAACATCGCTGAAATGTGTATCAACTGATAATAGTTTTTTCCCCCTTTTATCTGGCAACAAAACAGGTGTTAAGTTCTTCTTTGGTTCTTTCGGTAAAGTCACGTAGAATGAGAATAAAATAATAAATTGATAAAATAAAATAACACAATAATATTCTCACGACGTTTCGGCCACAACACAAGCGGCCTTCATCAGGTGAAGGGACGAGACTGTCTGGTAGGACAGCTTGTGTTGTGGCCGAAACGTCGTGAGAATATTATTGTGTTATTTTATTTTATCAATTTATTATTTTATTCTCATTCTACGTGACTTTACCGAAAGAACCAAAGAAGATGAATCATTGCAGTCACGAAAGCTTTAAATCGAGGTGTTAAGTTGCTAAAACACCAAACTGAAACCTCTTACAAGGAATCATGTCTGCATTAACCACAATTATTGTGGTCAAAATGCAAACAAAAAACACACTCTGTTAATATATAATATATGCATTGTCTTTGAAACTGATTGGCCCACACCAGAGACAGTGTACGCCTTTTGGCGTCCTCTGGTCGAACACCGTTTGAGACGAGGCTCAAAAGAAAGCTGTCTCTGGTGTGGACCAATCAGTTTCAAGGACAATGCATTTATTATCAGTGTGTTTTTTGTTTGCATTTTGGCCACAAGTATTGTGGTTAATGCAGACATGATTCCTTGGTAAAGGTTTCAGTTTAGTGTTTTAACAACTTAACACAGCTGTTTTGTTGCCAGATAAAAGGGGAAAATCCTATTATCATATTTTGGTACTGAACTATTGCAGCATAGGGATTTTTAATAAGTCTATTTTCCCATTTTTTGAAATTAAGCATTCACCTTGGTTAATTGCCATATATATATTCTTATATTTTACCTTAGTTCTCTAAAATGCCTGTTATTTGTTGATTTTAAATCGGCCCAGCAGACATTTCCTTAGTGGTCACCCCGTGCCCCTTATAAATCTCGATGTTCACCCTACAAAGTCCCATCACAAGGGAGAAACACAAACAAATAGACACATTTGATTATTTTTGCCCGTATTGAAGTGGCTGTACGCCGTATGGACCTGAAAAATCAATTTTCTTGTACAAGAATACGGAGCAAACCGTGTGGGTTGACGGCTATGGAATCCCTGGCAGGCTGCCTACGTGAAATGTGAGGACGAGGGTTCGAACCCCTTGCTCTCCACTGCATGTATTAAAGACGTGAGCCCTCATTGAGTTTGTTGATAAATTGTGCCCTTATATTCTTGGGTCTTTTGGTAAAGTCACGTAGATAGGTTCAAATGAAATAACAAAACACCTATCTACGTGACTTTACCGAAAGATCCAACAATATGAATTCCTGCAGTCACGAAAGCTTTAAGTCAAGATTTATGTGCCCTTGTTACGATTTAGTTCCTACATTGTTACGCATTAGTATCAATCTTTGTCGGTGTTACATCACGTCTCGGATGTGAACACGTGCTTGGAGAACCAATTCTAGAGGGCCTAAGGGAATACATCTGTTTTTTGCAATTGAGATATACGCTGCATGACCTTGCAGAGCATACAAGGCTAAGAATTAAAATGCAATCCAATGTGTAATGCACATAATAATAATTCCATTCATAGAGCGGCTTTTCATCAAGGATCTCAAAGCGATGTACAGGAAACAGCAGCAGACAGCATAAAAATGATTTTATCATAAATACATTTTTTGAAGCCATTTACTTAATTAACTTAAAGTTTAGTAAGCGAAAAGGTATAAATAGGTTTTAATACGCATTTTTGAAATGTTCACTGGCTCAAAGAGATCCCTGATATCTCGTGGATAGTACAATGCCGCATATCTGACTTAATGGAATGAGGTATGGATGGATATGCGAACCAGTGAGATATGTTAGCATGTAAATAAATCGGTTTTTTACCGTGCACAAATCGATCACTACACAACAGCAAAGTTCAGACTGCTGTCATCTTGGGGAAAATGCTTAGCGAGGTGACATGAATTACAAAACTGGAACTTTTACTACGCTGTTTGCAATATCGGCCTTCTTCAAGCAAAAACTCTAAAGAAATATGGAACGAGCGGTAATAAATGAACGGTAAATATCAGAATATGTATTTATACCGGAGGAATCCAATGAGCTATTTAATTAATGAGGGGACTTCCTCAAGGCTGTCGCTTTGTTTTTTTTAAACTCATCGCGGGCTCTTTTCTCGGAACTGGGTGGGCCACATAATTGGTCAGGACAGATACGTGACAGATTGGCGATGCATCGTGTCAGCAAATTCCTATCTAAATGGCATTCTCGCGTTGCGTTCCGCAGTAGACGTCTCCCCGTGTTGATTTTCACCATGAGTGCACTCTGTGTGTACTTGTTTCTCACTCTCTGCTGGAAACCCAGATGAGGAATTTTTTTTGTTACCTTTGATGAGTTTGAAGGCTCGGTAACAGTGCGAACGATGGGAAAAAAATAAGAAGAGGTTTTACTCTTTCTGGCAATAAAACGGGAGGTTAGAATAGGGGTTTCCCCCTTTTTTTGGCAACAAAACAGTTGTGTTAAGATATGGTTGGTTCTTTCGGTGAAGTCACGTCGAATGGAAATAATAAAATAATAAAAAATAAAACTATAAAATGTCAAACAACATTTTTTATTATTTTATTACTTCCCTTCTACGTGACTTTACCGAAAGAACCAAGAATATGAATCACTGCAGTCGCGGAAGCTTTAAATCGAAATTTAGGTGTTAAGATGTTAAAACACCAAACTGAAACCTTTTACAATAAATCATGTCTGTACGTTATAATTAACAAAACGATTTAGGTGCACAACGCATAGGATTTGATATATGGATGTAATTACCAGCGACACGTCTGAAGTAGTAACTAATTGGTGCGTTTTGTTTACGTGACAAATCCCTTACTGATTGACTTTGTCAGGTGGTGGAGGGTTACACAATATTTATACTTACGCGATCAAACCCAAAAACCTTTATTATGAATATTGGTCGCGAAAGCCTCCTACGTGTTAATCTGAAAGGCGGCTGACACCACAGCACGAACCACACGTTGCGGATTTACAGTGCATTGGACACCTATCTAAACCGCACGTTTCAATTAACAGTTTCTACAGCCCCTTGGAGTCTTCCTAAGCTCTGATACCCCTGTAGGAGAAGACAAAGGGGGGGGGGGGGGGTGTGGGAGTGCCTATATGCCCTCATGAATGCTCTTAAGAGTCAATGTCCACGGGAGGAGCGATCTGAACGGGTTCCATGTTTGATGGTACGCTCCCTCCCTGCGCTTTAGTTTTGGACTAAGATGCAAGTTGCTCTGTGTTGATGTCAGATTTTAGTCTCAGGGCAAGCGAGGAGGTCATCACTGCGCAACGTCACGTGCACCCACGTGTGTCCCGTGAATCTGACAGGGCAGTGCCTTTCCTTCGTTGTGTTTCACGCCGTTGCTTTTTTGCTGCAAATCATCCAACCCAAAAGAGAGCTTAAAGGCCACTCTGATTTTCCCCACGTTTAAAATTCCTGCATGCTTTTATCAGAGCTCAAAATCTTTATTTTAGACTGCAGGAGGAATCCGATGAACTATGAAGCTCTTTTTGCACAGATGTCCGATAGGGGCACGGGGTCATAAAATAGAAGGGGAGCCACAAGGTTTGCTTGTGTGTGTGCGATAAAAACGCGGTGAGGTGGCACAATGTAGGTGGTGTCATCTGCCAGTCATCTCAGTCAGCCAACTCCTGGCACCTGGGGGTGGTCTGTCCCGTGACCTCCTGCCGCCAGCTAGCATACGACACATCTCAAGTCAAGTCAGTTTGTTTTTGATTAACATGTGGCGCCTTTCTGGAACAAATCTGCCAGCCAAAGCACCATCACATAATGAAATAGTTCTATACGGTAAAAAAACACATTTAATAATAATGAAAGCCAAGCGATAGAAAAAGCGATCGGAATGCAAAGTGAAGGAAATATGTAAGCAAGTCACTAAAAATAAACAAATAAAATATATATGAGAACATAGCAAAAGTGTATCAATTCCTACCGATTTTTCAACACTAAATGCAAGCTTGGGCAAGGCAGAAAAACAACAGCAGTCCCAGACCATAGCAATAAAACTACATAGTCCATCGATAAAATTCACACATTAAAATTGTTATTATGCCACTCAATGCCATAATACAATCTAAATACATACTGTAGTTTACAAATGTACCATTTCAGCAGATTTTAAATTAATTTTTAGCGTACACTGTTGCACATTGAAAATAAGTTTTTTTCATGCCTGCAATCTCACGGCTCGAACCTATTATTCGATAATAAAACCACTCATCAAAAGTTCATCATGAGGAAACATCAAGAAACGAGACCAATTGGTGGCCTTAAAGAACCTTTGCAATAAATTGCTTCGAGTCATCATCAATGCGAAACGAAGGGGAAACTGAATCGGCCTCATCCGATATCTGAAATGAATACAAAATCTCGCGCAGCACGTGAACAAATCACCTCGCATCTGGGGATTACACAATGGGTGATATCATCTCATGAAATCCGAGCAATAATATAGTACGCTTGGAATTTGAGAGATTTTTTTTTTTTGCCCGAGGTTCAGCAACTGGCCAAACGGATGATGTAAGTACATTTGGAAGGCAACTTTGTTAACTATGTGGAAATGACATTTGCTAAATGAACAGCGTTTTTCTAAATGTCTTTATCAATTTGTGACACTTGGTGTTATGGGTGTTTAGACCCCCCCCCCCCCCACAGCAACATTTTTACACATGGCCAAGAGACGCGACGACATTTTTGTATAACAGTGCTTAAATTTTTACTTAAAACTTTCGTGACAGCAGGAATTCATATTCTATGGTTCTTTCGGTAAAGTCACGTAGAAGATAGAAACAAATAATAACAATAGAATAATAAAAATAAAGTGAATAAAAAATAATAAAAATATCACAACATTTCGATCGCAA